GTTTGATTAAGCTTCTTATTGGCGACTGTATCCAAACACTCTACGGATCTAGACTGCTATCGTATCAGTCCGTAGGAAGGGTTTCGCCCAACTGGGGAACGGCTAAGGAAGTCTATGATGCTATCGGATCAAGGCCTACACTGAGCTTCCGCATCCGGGCCTGTGTTTACCGCATCGATCTTGCAGCGACCCGCAAACCCACCCTTGAAGAATGTTCATGCTTCTAAAAATTCAGCAGTCTGTTGCGACACCGTTTTCCGGGACAGCACGACCAGATGGGGGGATAAAAGATGCAACATCAAGTGACGTCGAGATCTGGGAGGGTGTTCATCTTGTGGAGGGTGCCTCATGATCCTCCCCGCTGAGTCATTCAGTACTGCTGACTGATCGGCGCGATAACGATAAGGTCCTGTCCCGATAAGCACATCAGATGAGCCTTACTGGATGAGGCAATCAAGCCGAGGCATTAATCAAGATCGATGGGTCTTTTTCCATCCCATCTTTCACTGTTCGGTGTCGCCTGTGGTTCCCGTTTCCCCTTTTTAGACCTGCAGGTGATTATAGCGTGCTATCTAGTGCATGTTCTTTATAGAATCTTCTTTTGGCGTTACACTTCAACCAGATCCGGTTCTCCATGCCATTCGTTGACACCCCCCTCAGCCTATTAAGCACATTCTCCATACCGCTTCTTGTGGCGGGCCTGCTGGGAATGGGCCTGCTCTCATGGATCCGCCCTAATGGCCGGATCACATACTATCATGCGAAAGATAATAATCTCTTACTGGCCACAAAGGCGGGAAATTCTAGATCCCAGGCGCAAGTGACTCTGGCAGACCTGTGTCGCACTGCCACTCCGAAGACGTGCCAGCTGAACCCCTTCCTTTTCAATGGTCATCTACAGACTGCCTGGACGACCGCGAAGTTTGATAATGTTCCGGTACACTACAAGCGCTGGATGTTCGAGGCTGAGAACCCGATGTTGTCTGGGCACTTTGCGATAGACTTCGTGGTAGATCCGTATGAGCCGCCCAGTGACGCTCATGCGACTGATAGCGAGAGGAAATATACTCAGCCGTCAGGGCTACCCGAACGGACGTCATTCTTCTCGGAGAATGAATTTGCTGCGCTTCCTTCGGACGACACCAAGCCTATGCTCGTGGTTCTCCATGGCCTAAGCGGCGGATCACATGAACTTTATCTGCGCCATGTGATTGCACCTCTTATCAAGGATCAGACCTGGGAAGCTTGTGTCGTCAACTCCAGAGGCTGCTCGCAAACCAAGATTACGACTGGTGTGCTTTACAATGCTCGTGCTACCTGGGACATTCGTCAGGCTGTCAAATGGCTACGGAAGACTTTTCCGAATCGCCCCTTGTTTGGAATAGGTTTCTCGCTCGGCGCAAACATTCTTGCTAATGTAAGTCTATGTCAGGCACAAGTAACTAGGATTGACTGACGTGGTCGCAGTACTTGGGCGAGGAGGGCGATGCCTGCGAGTTGAAGGCCGCCGTGCTCTGTGCTAGCCCCTGGAACCTCGAAATTGGCTCCCTAAATCTGCAAAGCACCTTGATTGGTCGCGAGGTCTATAGCAAAGTAATGGGTACGAGCATGAAGGATCTGTTCGAACGGTAGGTGAAATCCATTTAATCATTGGTTTTTCTGCATCTGACTCGAGACCATCAGACACGTGGAGCAGGTCTCCAAGAACCCGCGAATCGACGTTGACGAGGTGAGGAATATCACTTATTTGCATGAGTTCGACAGGTAAGAATCACTGAAAGCATCTTCTGCATCTGCATGGGTTTGACGTTAGACACGAATAGGGCTTTGCAATGTGCGTCGTGGGGCTACCCTACTGAAGGAGCATACTATCGCGATGCTTCTTCCACCGATGCTATGCTCGGTATTCGTATTCCATTCTTTGTTATACAAGCCGAAGATGACCCGGTAAGTCAAATTTCTCATACCTGGGCATTCATATCCTAACCGATGGCAGATTGCCTGTGCTGCCGCACTGCCATTCCAGGAGATGACGCAAACCCCGTACGGCGTGATGATGACTACCTCTTGGGGTGGACATCTTGGCTGGTTTGAGCTTGGAGGTGGGAGGTGGTTTGTGAAGCCGGTATGTGAAAGCTACCTGCCAGTTGTCTATCTACATCTAACTGTTCCAGGTGGCGAATTTCCTGAACCTCATGGCGAAGGAGGTCGACCTTACCGTGCCGTTCAAGGTTGAGGATCCCGAGAAGATTCCCGGTCATCTTGCCCACCATACGGGTCCCGAAAAGGACGCAGATACGGCACCAAAGCCGAAATTCATTCCTGCGCAACGCAAGCTCGACCTGCAAATCAGGCCATAATCAACAAATATTGCATAACCGAACTGCTCCCATTGATAGGATCAGTGCTTCAATTGGAGAGATGCTCATCATGTGTCATGCACGCCGTTGTTTCGGAAGACATAGACCAGTATAACGCCAGAAACCCATCTAACTACATAGACCCGGTATAGACAGAATTACTTTTGTACATAGAATTTCAAGCAAACGCAACACTCTTCTTCTTTCCTTTTGACTTTGAAGACGACTCCTTGCTGGGCGCTTCATCCTTTGTTTCGCTGGAGCCACCCTTGTGCTTGCGTTTTTGGCGGATGGACTGCTTTGCTTCCTCCTGTTCGGATCAAACCAGTTAGCAACCCTTGAATCATAAAAGTCCTTTGACAGGACAATTGGGAAATCATAGGCATATATACGCACCAGCTTAGACTTCTTCTGCGCCTGTCTAGCCTCTGCCTCCTTTCTCTTAGCCTCACGGATCTCCTCCAACTGGCGAGCCTTCATCATCTTAGATTCAATCTGTCCTTCCTTCTCGGCGTTGACCATGGCGAGGATAGTCATCATTCCCTCCTATTGCAACATTGTTAGTCGATGCGACAGTCATACAACGGCCTAGAAGTGGACGAAATACGTACCGCATCGTCAACGAAAGTCTTGCCCTTCTTCTTACCCTTGGGCTTCACCACACCAACAGGGGTGATCGCATTCAGCTTGGGCAGACCCAGTTCCTCCTCGGTATATTCTCTCTTCTTCGTCTTCTTCAACAGACTGGACTCCGTGCGCGCCTTCGCCTTGACTTCCTTGGGCGGCGGGCGCTTGGCGCCTTTCTTGTTCACTTTCGATGCGGACGAGAGGGGCTTGCTCTTCTTTCCGTCGCCCTTGTTCGAGGCCTTGCCAGCGGCGGGGCCCTTAGTCGGCGCCATTGCTTCGGTTTAAGTCTGCGTGTCGGGATTGATGATATGGAGGGTATCGAAAGAGGGAGACGAGAAAATCTGGATTGTCGCCTGCGATGGTGGGGGAGCGGGAAAACCAGCCACAAAAATCCAGTCGCCTAAATAGCACAAATATCACGGACCTCAGATATACCCAAAATCAAGTAAATAAACCGAATCCAAGCCGAAGAAAAGAATTGGAACGAATGAAGCCCCGGACCCTCCAAGATCACGCCTCCGAAAGAGAAATTTTTTGAAACAGGCAGGCGGTGAGCCGCAACCCGGGAAGTGCAGGACCTCCACCACTTCGATCTCCTCGCATCGTCACCTTGAGGTTGGTCCGTCGAACTTCCCTTCCTTTTCCCCATTCGCTCTCCCTCCCCCTCCCCACCGTCGTCTTTCTCTCCCCTCTCATACCAGGTGTGCCATTGTCGAGCCTCACCACTAGGCCACTATTCAAGATGACCATCAACCCGACCTTCCTTGCTCAGCGCACGCGCTCCTGTACGTTTTCCCCTACCTCCCAGGACTCGGTTGTCCCGACCAAGTCCGACCCTTTAGAAATTGCCGCGACGTCAATGGCCGGAATCCCGAGCTGACCTTTTCTCGCCTTGTGTAGCTGCCAACTGGGGTGATGCGAAGCACCGTGTCCTCAAGTCTTACAGAGAATGGCTTAGAGCGGTCAGTGATCCTTATACTCGATAATACCTATGCTCCATCACCTATTCCCGTTCATCAATGGCCTGGCGTTCCCGGTGTGGTCGTCCGTCGACCCTCCGCGTCTACCAGACAGACCCTGCGACGGACCATAACACCAAATTCGATGACTACTATTCTACGAGAAACATCCAGACTAACATGACTCCATTCAATTGCGATAATATAGTCCCCCGAGATTCAGACTATGTACTCTCTGAACCTCCCCGTCTCCGCTATCCGTACGAAGATCCGCCAGGAATTTGAGAAGCACCGCTACGTCAACCAGCTGAACGTTGTTGATGTGCTGTTGTACCAGAGTCATGCTGAGTTCCAGGTGAGTTATGAGAACTGGGCAGCCTAGCGATGCTCAATTGCTGCCATTAATACAATCTACATCAACCAATTGAGTTTCACATATTATGGTATGGATAATGTGTTACTGACCAACATCAATAGGAAACCCTCAACTACTGGAAGCAGCTGTCGCATGTGATGAAGTACTTCCGCCCCGAGGAGGACCCCGGTGCTCGGCTACCTCCCAACTTCATCTCGGGCTTCTTGGAAGGCCGCAATTGAAATTGTGAAATTATCATCACCCACCATCATCTCTTATTTATCTCCTTTATACTCCTGGTATCCCTTAGCATTGAAAGTTCTCTGACGGCTGCGAACGCTGATAGAGTGTGTGTGAGTGTTATGTAAATATTGTCTGACTACATGATGTTTTTTGAATCACTCGAGGTTGCTTGTGTAGTAAGCATGTAGACTGTCTTCGAATGGCTTGCGGTCCGTATAAGATAGACACTACTTTAGGCTTTTATACTGTTTGATACGAACAGCCGATCAATACATACATCCAGGGCTAAAAGCCAGCAAGCGTCAACAGAGCCCAGGCCACATAATCAACCCACATATCTATGAGCATATAGTAGTGCTGTAGTAGATGCTATGGTATCCCTCACTCCATCCACCACCTCAAAACCCCCTGCATCTTACCCACCCACCCAATAAATACACCCCACCTAACCACCCCCAAAGAATAAAGAAAAGTAAAGTAAAATAAAAAAGAAGGAAAAGGTATAACTTTTCTACACACACAACGCCATCAATCCCATCAAATAGCAAATCATAACACACACAGAGAGAGAGCATCAAAGCCAATAACCACCCAAAAGTCTATAATATGTATAATAAAAAAAGATATATGCCTAAGCCTCCATGCGATCCGCCTGCGCAGCATTAAAGTCATCCCGAGCAGTGGTGAACTTATCCGTAACGACATCACAGAGATCCATTAGAGTGTCGAGACCTTTTTCGAGGGCTTCGACGGCGGTGGTTGTTTCTGTCAATCACAGTCAATATCAGCTGTCTTCAATCTATCTCAACCCAATGGGAGGTAGGGAGGGGTTTACTAACCATAAGTCTGAATCCGAAGATTCATCTTCGTCTCGGAAGGATGGGGGATAGTGTAACCGCAGAATTCGACGTCGGGGCTGTACCCAAGAAAAAACCACCCCGTTAGCAAGATCCAACATAGCAGTGTAATTTAAAGGGGGGGGTTGTGGACGCACTTCTTCATAATCGCATATCGCAGCGCATTACCCAGAGTGTGACCCTCTCCCTCGAATTGGAATGAAGCTGCGGTGTCGGATGAGCCGGGCAACTATCCCATTTGTTGAGATATTAGCATGCAGTCGGGAGGTATTCATATTAACAGTGTATGAAGTGTATACGTACGACAACAATGCGCTTCTCGTCCAGCTCGAGGACGTCGGTCTGCTCTTCCTGGGGCGCGGAGGCGTCCAGCATGGACTGGTCTTGTTCTTCGGAGTGGACGGAGGCGGGCATTTTGATCGAGACTTTATGGAATTAGGGTGTTGATCCTGCGGATCTGGTTAGCGCATTGTCTGGTATATTGTCGTTCGTTCGAGGTGTATACTGAGGGGGTAGGTGGTGGTGGTGGTGGTGGTGGTGGTGGTGATTCTTGAGGGGAGAGCGGAGGAGAGAAGGACTTAGTAGCGGGACACACAAGTCACGAATGCGGGAAATCTTAGAGGAATGGATTCCAGAGGATAGTATATTCCCGGCTAAAAGTGAATAGGCAATCAAAAGAGTCGTATGCGTCAAGTTTCGCAAATCACCAGACGCTTAATTGCTCATGAGGAGAAAAATGCGAAAAACGGTTTATCGATATCTCACCGCCTTCGGAGGAGGAGGAGAGCATATCCTTACCGCCTGCCTTATTGTACTTGAAGTATGCTGCTGCTGCTGCTGCTGCGATGTATGTTTGCCTTTGATTGGATCTATTGAAATCTACATCTTCACGAGTGCTACTAACTATCTACTCATAAATGACCTGTCTTTTGTAGGAGTTGCAAGCTGACTAGTCTGTAGCAGAAGCTAACGCACAGCATATCCTATTCAAGCACACTGCATAACTTATATCCAACGGCAGGATACGTACATACATATACGCCGTACACTGCGTGAACGAACGCTTTTCTCGGCCGTGTGCGACACTGGGTACGAAGTAGTATCTAGTAGCTAGCTTCTACTTAGTCGTTGTCAGGTTACTTCACATCATATGCATAAATATAGCAATCCGGATTGTGTCAAACATCGGGCACACGGTATGATCTACCACTATGCATACCCTTGTGCTACTGTGGCTTGATTTTATTCCCCCCTTCTTCTCTCCGTCGCTTGTCTTTTTTCTTTGCAGAATTGAGCTTTGCTTGCATAACAGCTACAGAGTAGTGCCGATCTGGTGCTACTGTGGTTTTTTTCCGGGTGGATGGATGGATGGATGGATACTGCAGGTTACCGACCGAGTAGGCGACTATTTGACTAATCCTTACTGGAGATGAGTCTTATGTCGCTGGACATACAGTAGTAGTGTTATTAGATCGGTCTTATTTTGTGAATGACTTGGTTTGTGTTGGTACGGAGGAGATAGAATGCTCCGGAGAGCTAGGTTCATTGAGTTCTATAAATATGTATGCCATGGGGCAGTTGAGTGCAATTAATGTCCGCACCAGGGAATATTTTAGTGCAACGAGGCTGTTACATACAGAAACCCAACTACTAAAGTAGTAGTAGTGATACGGTGTAATTGTTCTTAATATTCTCCATTCAATAGTTCATTTCGTTAGTACATAGGAGTAATACGTTAATCCTCCGTAGTAGCCAAGTAAGTACGCGACCAGGACCAGGCTACATACATACATGCTAAACAGTAAACACACACTGATAACCACGTACTAATTTAATTACTACTATTATTGACAATGGCATATTGCGATCGACCAGATGCTATATCGCTTGCCTTTGGGGAGCACGCCCCCTCTTTTTCTTTTCTGCCCACATGGAAGAACCAATATTAGCAACAGGGGGGGGGCCGTGCAGAGGTAACGCCGTTGAGACTAGACTCGGGCTTGAGGAAGGCTTAACACGGGGTGCTAATAAAATTAATAACATTATTAACTATTTGCCATCTGGCAATTTAAATCAATCTGTCAACACCGACCGTGTGTTTATGACACACAGTTTTGATAACGTGACGATGCAACTGTTCAAGATTTCGGAGAGTAATCATACTTGGATATTAAACTATTGCCTTGGCAGTGTAGATAGCTGGGTTCGCTACTGCAGGTATGGAGCTTCGGTTGTTAGGTAGTGCGTAGATAGATAGACTGTTATGTAGATAGTGTATAGTAAGTACTATGCTCGGATTCGGACTCGGAGTCGGTTGTTACTTGGTTGTTGTGGATGATGTCGTGATAGATGAGTGACGAAATGGATGGCGCGTACGGGAAGTTCTTGATTTGGTGTTGATTAGAAGATTGGATATTTTTGTTTGCCGAGTGTCCATTTGCTCCATCGCTAATACTAGTAGTAGGAGTGTCTACTCCGTACTAAGTACTCCATAGTTGGAGACATCTATCGGCAGGATGCTGTACTGTGTATATTGAGGATGGGGTCGGTTAATCCTCGAACAATCCCTTCCTTGCACATGGAAGTAGTGTTCAATAATCAACGCTCATTTTGCATATGCAGGGCAGGGTACATAGAGGAACTCCCGTGTGTAGTACTACTACGGAAAGATAATGGGTGGTTCTCGTTTCGAGAGACCACACGCGATAATCTATCTCGTACTCTTCCGGTGGGAGAGAAACAATATACATGCAGAGTAGTATCCACACCGTGTCCATGATAGTTACCTAATTAGCATCCACGAAATCGGGATCTCAGCTTGCCGAGCAAGCCACAACGATCAAATACACCGACCCTCCTGGGAAATAATAATATATTTCAACAGGTAGACCATGAACATGTTAAGTTGGTAGACCCTTTGTGATATGACAATCCATGGTACCACTTCAGCAGGTCAATAATTTCTGGAGACGGCAAGGCCGGACCCATAAACTAGTGGTTCATCAAGACTGGATGGCAAGGCCGTTCCTTAATCTTATTTGCAAGGAGCACACGTGGGCCCGCCAGGCCGAGGTTGGAACTTGGGAACTTATACCAAAGTAGACTAACGAGTTACTCCGGAGTAAAGTAAAAATAGGAGAGGAGGAGGAGGAGGAGGTTATGCGAGGGTGCAGACTTGTATTGTTTTTTAACACCTTGCACAATGAAGATTTACTGTACTTTCATCTGGATAGTCGTATGCATTGCTTGCCAGCTAGGTATTTCAACTACTCACTTTTTCCCGGTGATTTAGTTAGTAGATACTACTAAGTATCAAGTAGTAAGCCGGATCTCACTAGTCGTGATCCCCGGGTTAATGAGGCGGTCCCGTTTAATATTAAAAATGACTTTACCTCGTGGAGTGGGAAATGAGGGGAGAAGCGATCGGCCCTGATGATTGCCTCTCGCAAACGGGCTTATCCGCAGATGATTTCGGGCCTTGAATAGGAAGGTCTGTAAATATTCAGTTCATGGAAGTAATCCATAATGTCAACTCCCATCATCGGTACCTTGGAACGAGTTGTTGAGGATAGATAGATACATACTATCTACTAAGCCATCAGCGAGTACTGCTGCAAATATATTTGTCAGATCCACATCCCACCCAGCCGTGTAAGCATGCCACGCATTGGATCGGAGTACTGTGTAGTGCGTAAGTAGTACCTGCAAAGTATCACCACTGCAACTGTAGCAGGGATTGAAATGCTAATATCCCAGGAAGTCGATACAAAATGGAGCCCTCTGCATGCTTTGACTTTTTTACTAAACCTTCATGAGGAGTGACCGAACTCTTTTTTCCTACCCACCAGGCTGTCGGGAAGTGGTTCCGCGCGTTAGTTTTGACTCTTTTGAATGTATTGGGAATCGATATTGAGAAGGACGGTGTATACGCATTGGGCTAGATCGCTACCTAGAAGAATGGATGTGGCTTGCTTCTGCTACTGGTGATTGATTGATTGATTGATTGATTGGCTTGATTAGTAGGTCTGTTTTGAAGACAGCAAGTCAATTAAGTTTGACTCAGCAGAAAAAAAGTTTGACAGGTCCCATGTTTTGCATTGAGGCCTTGTTTGAGTCAAGCTGCCGTTCTGACTCGAGCAAAAAAGGGCCGGAGGCTTGGGTTTTGGTTGCACGAGGGCTGGGATTCAAAACCATCCCCAACAGTTGCTGCTGCTGCTGCTGCTGCTACTGTTACACCGGTCCGGCATCTCGGCTATCAAGGTAAGGTTAACTAGCTAATTCACTAATTATCTAACTGTTCAGAGTTACTCCGCGGGCCCTGTCTGTCCATCCTGCACTGCAAAACTGATTGAGACAATAGTGTTGTCGCAGGAAGCGAGCTAATCGTCTGAAAGAGAGAGATTCTCATTTCCGCCCCAGCCCGTGATCGAAGGGGCGCGGGCTAGGTTGGGAAAGAAGTCGATCTTCATTGTTCCCAATAGTTCGCTCGCAGGTTCATGTGCTGTGCTTGAAATGGGCCTGCGGAATTGACCACGCAAAGTCGAATGGAAGGCATGGGAAAAATTCTGCCTTACAGTAGTTCGGTGGCTCAGGCCCCTGGGATGTCGCAAGGTAAGCAGTGCCGGGCGATCATGTCTAGAATTTTACCTTTCGAGGCGGATGTGTGCGGGTGAGCAAGGTAGGAGTAGTAGGTAGGTGTTTTTCTATCCACTTCTCTCTCTATACCCTACATACAGTATCTACATACCTTATTACGCTTCTTAGTATGTATCTACAGTTGGAGCGTTGTTACTCCTACTTATCTGGGAGTAGCGACCGAGCAAGGTCAACTGATTTCCGGTGGATTGCTCCGGCTGGGCGCGGAAATCCCGGCCCTGATGGAAGAGGCTGCGTTGATAGTAAAAAGAAGCCCGTGTCGGATCATTTTAGTCTTACTCATATTGTAGAAAGTTAGTTACTACTTTTTGTTGGGGGCAGAAATGAGTGAGTGCAGTTCACAATATAGTCAGACATGACGATCTGATTATCATGTAATGTGTTATGTGTTATTGTTATTGCTGCTGCTGCTGTTGTTAGAGTAATATGAGGATAATTATCGTTATTATTATACCTTTTCTTATTTCTCCTACCCGAACAGTTGGTCTTCCCGGTCTGGAGCATTTGACGAAATTATTCATCCATTCATGCGACTGTTGGCTCGTCTCGGGCATGTCACAACGCGACACTCTCAACGAGAACGAGGGCCGATCGCCATCGTCGTCGTCGTCGGACTGTGCCGCGGGATGATCGATCGAGGCATCTGTAGAAGACCTGGTTGCCTACCTTGTTTCTTCTTTTTGCTTATCATATCATTAGTTACCAAGGTTAGCAAGGGAAGCCTTACCAAGAATTCATCTACTTCTTTCCACACTAGCGAGCAGAGACTGAGACTGAGAGAGAGAGGAACGTGGGGAAATGTGAGATGTCAACTTTTCGGATTAATTCGTCAAGCCCCCAATAGAGAGAGAGGCTGTTGCTGACTGCAGACTAGTCTAAGAAGAGAAGAGGAGGGGGGGGGAGAAAGTGGGCAAGTCGGAGGGGTGGAAACGAGAAGCGAAACTGTGGTTAGTGAGTTAACAGGATTACTAGTATTATGTCTGACAGAAGAGTGGATTCATGGATCGGGGCAGGGACTATTGTTTCCACCAGTTTGGCGCCGGTGGATTCGGGGATGGTGAGGGACGCTGGTGTCGCAGGTGCGTCGCCACCAGGGGGGGGGAAGGAACCAAACCAGGCTCTCTTTTCCTTTCCCCCAATTTTATCCACCCTGCGTCGGACGCCGACACGATAGTTTGTTGGCACGGGATGGATGGATGGCTGTGTGTCAGTCATCCACTACTTACTGTACCCTCCACTACAGAACAAGGCCGTCATATTCACCACTTTCACTCGAGCAAGAATATGATATTTAGTAGGAGAGAAAAGAAAGGTAGCGATGAGAATGAACATGGAAGAATCATCTTGTGCCATCTGCTACACTCTCAAAACGAGTGCAAAATTCCTAGCCGGTGACTGGCTCGGGAATTCCCAAATGTTCCAGCTGTCTCACAGGCCAGCGGCAGTTCCTGGATCTCCATAGGCCGGATCCCGGATGGGTCGCAGGGAAGAGCCCCTACCTTGTCTTCAGTTGGATGGAACACGATGGTCGGGCCAAGAGACGAACTAAACTGGTTAAGTTGTACCTTTGTCTGGTGCGTGTCTGGACTCTTCAAAGTAATCTTCTGTTCTTTCTTGTTTCCCCCCCCTCTCTCCCCTCCCTCCTCTACTATCGTCCAACACATGATAGTATATTGCCTAAGTACGTATAGACAGGGAAGGAAAACAAAAAAGATAAAAAGATAAAAAGAGATAAGGGAAAGTAGGCCAGGGTGTGAATTTTGTAAACACCTAATGTGAAGACTACAGATACATTCATTACATCAGAAAAGTGAGAGATAAAAACTCCCAGGTGTCATCTTATCATGCCAGCCCGATGACAAGAACACAAGAGAGTAGGTAGGAGAAAAAGAAAGAGGTGTGTGGTACTACAGTCCAACCGATGTGAACCCGAGGCGATCAGCAGCAACCGCCAATTGTCACAAAAGTGTCACATCATCGGCGGACAAGCCCTGGGCGGAAACAAACCATGTCTCAGCTGGTGCCAATCAAGTGGGAATCCTGCTCCACTTGGTCTGAGCATTTTCAGGAGATTATTGGGATGGATCCCAGTCCGGTTTTCTATTTTTCTCTTCTTGTCTGTCTGTCTGTCTGTCTGTTCTGTCTGTCTTGTGTTTCTTGTACACAAGATAATTCTTCATTATTATTTCTTATTATTTTCTATTTTACTTGTTATAGTATATTCGTATTAGGAGAGATTACTAGGTGTTCACCTTCCTTTTTCAGGTCCTCCGTAGATTAGTAGGTATTCTTTTAACTTGCTTGTTACATGTTCTCTCTTTCTTTCTTTCTTTCTCCTTCAGTGGTTTCGAACTAAGAGTCCCTAATGCTCCTAGCGACCAGGATCTCTTCTGGTTCTTGATATCGTATCCATTATTTTCTTCTTTTTTTAAATAATACTTTCCCATATTTTTCTTTTTCTATTTCTTTTTTACTTTTATTATTATTATGACAATTCTAGTAAAGTAAGTCCAAGTCTCGTCTTCTTCCCCACATCCATTCATTCAAGGTCTTGGTCGCCTCCATTGCAGCCCAATTAATTCCCACTCCCCCGTTTGATGATGATTATTTCTCCTGCTCGTTTCTCGCCTGTTCTCCGTCCTGGGTTTTAGGTTTCTTTCTTTTCTATCTTCTATTTTTCCGTGTTTCTCATTTCTTTTTTCCCTTTTTCCCTTCTTCCCTTATTTTTATTTCGCTTATTATCAATCATAATTTCCTGGCTCCAACCCTGCCGCGTGTTCGGATTGAATGGCACGGTCCAACTGATAGCCCTTTCATCGTTCTGGCTACTAGTGCCAACCCTCTTCTGCCACCGTCTCATCGAGATTAAATCGACCTGTTGGATTTCCCTTCGCACTCCCCGATCCATCCATCCCGCTTCCATACCAGACAACTTTGCCCCATACCGCCCTCCCAACTAATACCTACCTTACTTACTAGTTAGTCCACCTTCTGCTTCTTCTTCTCCATCATCCATACAATTTATCCTCCCTCGCTCGGGTCTGGTCTTCTCAGCCTTCTTTTTCTTCCTTTCTTCTTCCTTCCTCTTCCCCTCTTCCTCATTTTTGCCTTTTACTGTTATTTTTGCTTTTTCTACTTTCCCTCTCTCTATCTGTTCTTCCTTCTCTCTACTTCTTGTTAGCTTCCTTTTTTTCTTCCTCATTTCTTCCTTGAATATCATTATTATATCAGCATCATCGTGATATCCTCAATATTGATTCCCCCCCCTCCTTCCATCCTTCCCCTCCTTCTTCTCGGGCCATTTACCTACCTCGCATGGGGGCCAGACCTATCGAGATCCGCTTCCACCACACACTATCGCTTTGTCGCTCTGGAACACCACACCCCCCCCGGCCTGACCGACCTCTAACCGTTGTCACACTGCCGCCGGCCAGCCTTAGCTAACCGCCTCCCTCAAGTATCTGACCACTCCCCGTCGTTGTCACCTCCCACCACCTGTTTGACGACTTTTACCTGGGGTGCCACATTGAACGTTGATCTCTTCCTCCTTACCCCCCTCCGTCCTCCGTGCCTTTCCATTGTTCGGGCTGGATCCGTCGGTCTTTTGAAAGCTGCTTCCGCCCCCATTCCAGAGCTCAACCTCGACCTCGCCTCCCCCCGAAGACCAATATTAGCCGCCTCCGCTACCGAGCTCTCAAATCCGCGCGCGCTTTCATCCGATCTCGCCCTACCACCCCCATAATTCCAGCGCTTGTTAGAGAAAGCTTGATACTCCACCTGCTCCAGGCTGTGAGACGTTGGGTGGCACGGTTCTTAGCACCGTACAGGAACACGCTATATAGTCGGTGGCTGTGTGAGACAGCTCCCGAGGGGGAATTTTTCTTTTCTTTTTCTCTTTCGCCAGCCTATATCGGTTTGACGGCTGCACCGTCCCTTTGATTCGACTGCTTCCCCTGGTCAGCTGTGTGCTTTCGCCAAGGAGTTTCCCGCTCCTTTGTGTCCTGTCGAATTCGTCACCCTTCGTTGTCATTATGTCGACCGCGGTTGCGCCTGCCCAGGCTGCTCCGCTCACGTCTCCACGTATGACCCGCGATATCAGTCCGAAAAATTGCCCAACACTGGCGCCTGCATCTTCAGGTAACCAGACGAGTACCACGCCGCCGCGCCCATCCGGTGTCTCTCGGGATGTGTCGTCGGCCAAAAGCTCGCCTGCAGGAAAGAAACCGACCTCGCCTTCGTAAGTATCTTACCCGACAGTCGCTGGCTGAATCGCCGATGCAGATTGTTGACCTTTCAGCAGATCACAGGCCGGATCCACTGCGAGTCGAGTTATCGTGAAAAAGGAACCTCCGTCCTCCCCGGCAATGCAGTCTCATACTAGACCTCGCCCTCGCAGATTAGACCTTTCCAGTAGCCTTCCGACCTCGGGGGGCTTGTCCGCTCGGCCTCCTGGCGGCCCTATGACTGCGAGAGAGGGCGTCAACATGCAAGAGGTCGGGATCGCTTGCCTGTCCCCGGGATTTCAAACACATGACCCTGTGATGAGGGAGCAGCTGCAGCGGAGCTTATCGGTTCGGGATCAGCAGCGCTCAATAATCGAATCGCGTTTACAGAAGTCCGCCAAGGATGACGGGCCCGATGGAATCAAGCCATCTGAATCATTCGGCCTCCCCCGGGTCGGTGCATCGAAGAGAAGACCCCCGCCTGGCCTCTCCATCGTGCCTCCTTCCGCAGCCCAATTTGCCAGTGAACGTGTCATCCAATCTGCGCCATTGAATCAGACCTTCACGGGCCGAAACGAAGCGCAGCCCTTAACCCGTCATGTTGTTAACCAAAGCCCGACTTTGGGTTCCACATCTCACATCCATCACCTCCCTGCTACGCAAACAACCAATCGCTTGCCCCCGCTCTCTGACGTCTTTGGAAATGAGGCGTTGGGCCGCGATCGCGAGGCAAACCGGGGACTATATTACCCCAGCGCGACAGCTGCAAACCCGCCTCAATCGAACAATCTTCCCCCAATTCCCTCCCCTCGCATCTCCCGGGATGCCGCTCAACCTCCCAAGCGCCCCAGGGAGTACCGTTCCGCCGAGGAAGCTGTCCAGGAACTGTCAGGCGGGCGCGAGGAGCTTCTGCCGCGCATTGTACATTACGGCGGCCACCAACCCCCCACTCCACCATCTCCCCGTGTGGCTAACGGACCGCCAAAGTCTGGAGTGCCTCACTCGGATGCTACGCCCATGGCGAACGCGCACCCCCCGCAGCCGTCATTGTACCCATCCGAGGGTACTGCTCGGCGCCGCTCGAGAAACGAGTACGAACATGAGCACGGCAGCCCGCCCTTGGGCCACGGCCCCGACCCACATTATCGCCCTAACCCAGCTTTGGCCTCTGGTGCAAGTTCCACCTATGGCCCATTTGGGGCTGGGAGAGACTCGCCCGAGACCCAGCGCAGAAAGAAGGAAGAATTCCTTAGTCTCTGCGCACGTGCCTGGGACCTATTCCATTCTTAACTCATGACCAATTGCTTAGGGTCTCCCTATGCGATCTGATTTGGCCCGTCGCTATGAATGCACTCTCAAATACCGCCAATCTTCCCTCATGCGCTATTCGGTGTGGTCAGTACTTGAGAAATTATGGATAGGCATGGCCCAGCAGAAGGTGCTTATTTGGGAGCAATCACCCCCGGCTGAACTGCGGGCCCACAAACACAGCAGATTTTACGTGTGGAGGGAGTGTGTCTGAAGAATATTATATATTCTAGACATGATGCATATGCCGAACTACACGACTACCTATATGAACCGCATGAACAGTCGCTCTTTGAAAAAGAACGGAAGGGTAGAACCCGTCCCTTCAATCTCATCCCTTTTACCCATTTTGCATCTTATACCATGTTAGGCCAGACGCCTTCATTGTTTGCCATTGGTTCCATGTGTTTATTTCTATTCGATCATTATTCAATCTCTTCTCTTTCATTGCCCTTTTCCTCCGATCGTCCCCTCGAGGGGAACTTGCTTTGTTCTGGACATGAGGCGTTATTTTGTTATGGGTTTAAAGATCATGTTCTTCGAAGAATCATGTCTATATTGTTTCGAGGACCTCAGATTTCGGTGATCCTTGCGTCATTGACTTATGGCTTGTTGCGATACCATTTGATTGTTTGTTTGTGCTTACGCGTCTGATTATCCTGATACAGCAATAGTTATTGGATGTTGGTTGTTCGCCATCTGGCAGTGATAATATGTTCTTCATTTTTTTTTTTCTTTCTGACTAAGCTGCAACTACGCCTGGAAGGAAAAGGTCGGTTTTGGATAATGATAAGTAATACGGTGTCTATATAAACACTCCCGGACTGTCGGCGTGGAAGTGATGTTCTGAAATGAATTTTGTAGAGAATATATGCCTATGCAGTTGTGAACTATATACAATATGATGGGCCAGGCATCAGGATCAGACAAGCTCCAGCATCTATGCAACTCGGCGGCGTTTCCAGCCACCACCACCTCCACCGCCACTCGGCGCATCGTCGCCAGCCAAGGCTCTCCGCTCCATGGGCATCTCCTTTCTCTCCTTGGCTGCAGTCTTCTTGCGCTTCCTTTCGAGTGCCTTGGTGCGGTCCTTGGAGTTCATGTTCTCGTACTTCTTGAGCAGCACCTGCTTCTTCAGGTCCGACTTCTTCAAGAAGTACGGGTTGCTCTTCTTTCCTTCACGGATGAGCTGTTTCTCCTTCTTCTTATGCTCCGCTAAGACCTCCTTCTCACGTTTCCTGTTCTCCATCGCTCGAAGACGGTCTTGAGTCGACCGAATCGTACGCTTCAGAGCTTCTTTCTGTTCCTGGTTCTTTGTCTTGGCATATTGTTCCTTCAACTGCTTCAGCTCATCCCGGCGATACTCGTCCAAGAATGCGTATGCGTTGCTCGCTGCCTGAGGGTTTCCGCGGCCACCCTGGCTCAAGACAGTCGGGTCGAAGCGGGGGTCTCGCGACTTGGGCACACCCGGCGGCTCAATGATTGTCCGTTTGCGGGAGACGGCATGTTTGGAGGATTGTACGGCCGGCGCATGTTTGGAGGAACGGGAATGCTTTTCAGAGTCCTTGTTTTTCGACAGCGCTTGACGTTTCTGTTCGCGCGCCTCTTGAATCCGCGCTCGAATGTCGTCTAAGGGGGAAGGAGCGGCAGGCTCCTCTTCTGTCTTGGAGGCCTTGGATGACCGCTTCGATTTAAGGCCTATAGATGCTTGTGCTTTCGCCAATGCGCCGAATGAGATGCTGCTTAGTGAGGCTTGAACGTCGTCTTGGGGATCGTCGCTGTCGTCTTCGTCATCTTCGTCGTCCTCCTCGTCATCATCCATATCTTCCGGGTCGACTTGAGACTGCGAAATAGTCAGCATTTTGTGACGTCTATCAGAGAATAGGGAACCAACCACATCGTCATCGTCGTCTTCGTCTAGGGAACCATCACTGCCACTCTCTGAGCCCGACTCGTCAGAGCGGAGATCGTCGCTCGCCTGCTCCGAGCCAGACTGGTCAGAATAGAGCTCCTCGTCATCCTGGGCGACAGCTCGCACGCGGCGATTCAATAGGTCTGAAATAGTCATTTCGCAGTTCTTGGATGGGGGATGTATAACCGTATTTAGTTCATGCAAGGTGAGATGAAAACCCAAGCTGGCCGGGCGGTGAGATCGGCGGCCGAAAAAAAATGAGGCCGTTCTGCCGTTCCTGGAAGGCGGCGATCAGGGCGTCTCCACCTTGATTGGCCAGATCCCCCGATAAGTAGGTCACTTTTTCTGCCTCCGCATATCTTCTATCTTTCTTTTATCGTTGGCTGCTCTCATCCTCTTCACTCTCCCTCCTGTGTCGCGGCGGATTCCTACGTTGGTCGCCCATCTTCCAGGAATCTTCCATTCATGTTGCGAGTACGCCAATGCTGCCTATTCCCTCGTTTGCCTCTGATTGCTATAACGCCCCGCCCCGCCCCGATAGTCCCCTCTCCTGATCGCAAGCTTCATAGTGGGGTGTCCTCCAAGGTGTGCACTTTTGGTCCGAATATATGAATATCTGTATTGCTAACACCATTGGATAGGTTGCTCTGGGAACAATCAGCGCTAGTTATACTCCTGTCAATTTCCGCACATGCTATCATAAATCCTCGAATCCACCCCAGTTCTCTGTCCGCAACAACCAGTCCGTTGAGCCCGACATGGAGTCAACAAATGCATCGGCGTTCGACGCCTCAAGTATGGACAGTCGCGTTTGTCGTGATGGTTCCAATTCTTCTGTGGTAGGGGATGATCAGCCTGCCTGGAGACCGTATAAAGACCGCTGGGCTCGTCAGAAAATGAGGAACACCAAGCGCAACGGCACAGAGGATTCCGGCACGACGGCTCCGGGAAATGCTCCCCCATCTGCTCGCCCGCGGCAAAAGCTACCACGACGGAGCAAACAGGTAGCCGAAAAGAACATTCGGGAAGAGATGCAATCACAAGCATCACAGTCTGCCAATACAGCGTCCTATGCACCAGGTCATCCATCCCAGAACAGCTTTGGGACATTTGACAACTTCAATCTGGCACCTATGTTTCTCCCGTTCCAGAACGGCATGGCTGCGCCAAACGAAACTTTTCCAGGGTTTCAGCAGCCTTTCTGGCAGCTCCCATTGGAGCAACAGCAACAGCTTCTTCAAGCTCCTTTGGGTGAGCCCACTAATCCTTCTTTCAGTTTCCCTCCGTTGAATGACATGAGTGCGTTCCCTGGTGGATTGCCTCCCATGTTCCCGCCTGCATTCATGAACTTTGCGCCAACGAATCCATTGATGACAATGCCACCATTCGGGCCCATGGCCTTCCCAGCAGCTGGCTCTGCTGGAGTTAATACCCGCAACATGTCCAGCCAGGTTCCATCGCCACGCCCGGGGTCTTCATCCAAGGCACGCGCTAGTCCTCGCCCTCGTTCCAAGAAGTTCGAGTCTCCGACACCACCTAAAAGAGCCCTTCCAACACCGGCCTACCTTGAGCAGTCATCAAAACCAGCCAAACGGAATTCCTGGAAACAACCTCTACTAGTCATCTTGGACTTGAACGGCACGCTCGTTCATCGGCCTGACCGGTACATGCCGCCTCGATTCAAGCGAAGAGCGGGACTAGACATCTTTATACAGACATTGATGCAGAAATACAAGGTCATGATATGGTCGAGTGCCCGTCCCCCCACCGTCGATGGCATCTGCCGCCAACTCTTCATCAATGACAGCCGGACGCAAATCGTCGCTGAATGGCACCGCGAACACTTCAACCTCACACCACAGCAATACGATGCCAAAATCCAGGTCTACAAAACCCTCAGTACCGTCTGGGCTGACGAAAAGGTCCAAGCATCATACCCCAGCCCCGAAAGCCTGGGCTCATCCGTACCTGGAACCTTCCAAAAGACCTGCTGGGACCAAACCAACACCATCTTAATCGACGACACCCGCCTCAAAGCAAGCAGCGAACCAAGCAATCTCCTCGAAATCCCCACCTTCGACGGACACTCCGGCGCAGAAGACGCGGCCACATTAACAAAGGTTCTGCAAATGCTCGAGGAGCTATCCTTACACGACGACGTCAGCCAAGTCCTCCACAAATGGTACAACTCGATCCCCAAAACTGGCAACCTGTGTCTCGACATCAAGCTCCAAGACGACGCCGAAGCCCAACAACAACCCGAAACCACCCAACAACAACCCCAACCCAAACCCAACGACGTCCCCCTCACACCAGCTGAAATCGCCGAAGCACGCAAACAACGCCGCAAAGCCCGCAAGCGCGAAAAGACCGCCGAGAAAGCCAGGGCCCGCCAGATTCAGAAGCAAGAAGATCGTCTTGCCGCCAAAGCGAAAAAGCAACAACCACCACCACCTCCTACATCTATCCCAGTGGCCGCCGCCGCCTCTTCTACTGTCGATGAAACGATTACCGGCACACCACGTACAGACCCTTCCTCATATCCTCCTCCCTCCCCATCATCGCCTTCTTCGGACTCAACACCGGGTGGCACTGCCATACCATCCGGACTTGATCTAAATGAAAACGTCAGTAATACTTTGGGTGACGGTGATGCAAGTGATCGTTCGCCATCACCTGCCGCTTCGACCCAGTCTGAGAACTATCTCTTGGATCGGTTGGAGGAGTCGTTGAAGACTTGAGGTTTCTTTTTATGTTATTTCTTCTTCATCTGTCTGCATTAGATATCACCTTCTGTATTGTGGGAGGTGGGTATTCCACATGATATGGTAATGGTGCATCCACTCATGGCAGGAGACCGGGGGATAATCTAAGAGGAAGAGCAAAGCAGTTGGCTGGGCTGGGACCAGCTAGGTTACTGTACGGGTATGCACATAGTTTTGTATCACGAAGTGGTTACTATAAATGAAGCACATACGGGATGTTGATATGGCATATAGAGCATCATATACCAAGCAATGATTACAATACTGAGTTACTAAGGAAGAAGAGGAAGTCATGATCATGGAAAGCACAAAGTGCTAGTGGGTTTGTTTTTGACTAGCTACTGCTATGGTCCATATCAATCGTAAGCGTGGCATTACGCGTGAAATAAATAGAGGAAGAAAAAGTTTTCTTTTGGAAGGAGTCGACGAAGAATGAAAACACGTAAACCGTTCCATCATGGGTAGCGTGGATATGTAAAAAAAAAGGGCGGGGGTAAATGACACCAAGGTAGGGAAAAAGCAATCAGATGAGATAGATGTTGACCGGACGGGAAATAGCGCCCTGAACATACTATCCCCACGAGAGCTCTCCCACGCCTCGGTTTGAGGAGAAAGAGACGGAGGTTATTTAAAGGTCGAGTTTCATCTCAGACGACTACCCAACGAGAGAAGGGGGGGGGAAAAAGTGGGATATCATCATCATGAATTGGCTACGTCTAACGCACCAGCTTATTTGAAGACGTGGCCGTCAGCGAAGGGGTACTCCTTGCCCTCGATGACAACGGGGGTGTCCCAAGCCCACTGGTCCTCAATGAGCTTGCGGTCCTCAGCGTTGGTGTGGTCAAGCTTGCGGAACTCGTAGCTCTCCCAGTCGGGGCCGACCTCAAAAGCGGGCTTGGAGTCCTGGCCGCGGACCAGGAAGACACCCTGAATGACGCAGTCGTAGTTGGCACCGTAGACGGCCTGGGCACCGAAGAGGTACTTGCGGGAAGCCTCAAGACGGGCGTGGAAACCACCGATCAGGTTGTTGGCCATGAAGGTAAGCTTCAGCTCGTTGTTGTACTTGTAGTTAACGGACCAGAGGGAGTACTCCTCGGGCTTGTAGTTCTGCCAGAACCAGGGCAGAGCAACGGGGCGGGTGTCCTCGTTGGAGTACTGGCGCTTCCACTCGTCAAGGACGAACTCGGAGCGGCCAAGAGCCTCAAGGGGGTGCTTGGGCTTCTTCTCCTCAGCGGGCTTGGGCTCAGCGGCAGCAGCGGGGGCTGCCTCCTTCTTGGGCTTCTCCTCCTTCTTGGGGGGAGTGTACTTGATGCACTCCTCGACGAAGACGGGGTTCTCGAAGACAGCCTTGAAGGCGGGCTGGTTGACGATGGTCTTGTACCAGCGGGTGATGGCAACGTTCTCGTCACGGTACTTCTTGTCCAGGACGGTAGCGAAGGCACGGGTGAGGAGAGCGGCAGTGAAGTAATCAGCCAGGGAGATGCGCTCGCCAACAAGGAAGGTGTTGGCAATGAGGTGGGTGTTAAGAACGCCAGCGTTCTTCACAGCAGCCTTGGCAGCATCCTCGACGTTCTTCTTGTTGTAGCCGTCAAGACCCAAGAGAGGGCGGTACCAGGCACCGAAGCGGGGGATGATCTCGGAGTTGGCGAAAGACAACCAGCGGAGGATGGAAGCATAGTCCTGCTTGGTCTTGCCCAAGAGGGTGGTCTTCTCGTTCTGGGAGGTCACTTTTATTCGAGTCAGCATGAGGTCCAACCAAGAGACAATTGCGTGATCATCAAATAATCAAAACGAAATCTCTTCACTACCCCAAAGTGGGGTAAGAGATGATTTTCAGAGTCAAACGTTATCAACATTATTTATTTATTTACCAGTTCTGACAGGGATAACTTGAAATAAAATGCTCATCATGAAACAAAGGGAATTGCAACGCGCAAGGCGTATTCAGAGTAGAACGTACGGTAGACAGCGATGGCAATGACCTCAGACAGAGTGTAGCCGTTGGCACCCTCGAAGGCGGGGACCTTGCCGAGGGGGCTGAGCTTGGTGTACTCAGCGGACTGGTTGAAAGAGGCAGCAGAGTTAGCCTCAGTCTTGACCAGCTCAACCTCAACGTCGTTGGCCTTAGCCGCGACGAGGCAGGCAATGGTGCGACCGTTCTCCTATGGAGTCAATTAGCAAGGTGTTCTCAGCATAGCAGAAAGGAAGCTATTGTAAACCCTAGGATGGGAAGAACAACTTCCTGAAACAGGCAGAAACACATACAGGGGAACCGTAGAGCTTTCCGAAGGCCATTGTGAAGGATGTGTGGGAGGAAGATGAGGAGGGAGAAGAAGAGGAAGAGAAAAAAAAGGGAGAGGGGAGGGGAAAAAGAGGGAGAAAAAAGGCGGCGGCAGCTTGTCGAGGGGCTCGAAACAAATTTGTGCGAATCAGACCGCTTCGGCCCCGGAGCAACCTTTGCTGCCGGATGCACGTGATCTCTCCGGCGAAAAACCTCAGGATAGTAAGAAAGTTGAAGGTTCCGGCGAATCTTGTCGGTTGGGTCCGTTGGTGTTCTTCGTCCTCTTGCTCCCTTCCCCCCCATTGCCCTTCTTCTTCTTCACCTCACATTCCTCCAGGCTCCCCTTTGCCAGCCGGTCTGCAGCATCATGGCCTGGCAAAGCCCCAATGGCCTTGTGCACGCCATGCACTCCATCCGTCGAGCTGCTCAATTGCGGCCTTTTATCCAGCGCTCCGTGATCTCCGCATCATCCCCGGTCTCCTCTCCATCCACGCCGGCTCTCCTCCAGCAATACAAGAATGCCCGCAGCTATGCGACAGAAATAGAACCCGTTGCTGCTCCCCCCATTGACCTCGACACTTTCATCACCAGGCCTGCCCGCATCATCCCCGTGTCGCCGGCCTACTTCTCCGGCAGCCCCAAGTTTTTCGACCATATGCTGAAGCTGGAAGCTCTTCTGGCCAAGTATGCCGCATTACCCACGGTGTCCCCCAGCGAAGCCCCCAGAATGGCCTGGTTCAAGCTGCTCCAGTTCCGTGATGCCGTGGGCGAGCCCGTCCCGACCAAGAAGTACAAGGGCCTCATCAAGCTCCTGCAGCGTCTGAACCGCATTGACCCCAATGTTGCCCCGGAGGAGGTGCGAACGGCTCTCAACTTCTTCCTCCGTCCGGGTAATCCGTATGGAAACAAGCCCGCCCCCAGAACGGTGGATGAACAGGGCAAGGCCCGTGGTAAGGGCAAGCGCAAGGCGTCCTCGGCGGTGGTGCACCTCGTTGAGGGTGAGGGTGAAATGTTGGTGAACGGAAAGACGCTGAACGAGGTGTTCCCCCGTCTACATGACCGTGAGAGTGCTGTGTGGCCTCTTCGGTGTACGTCACGGCTGGACAAGTATAACGTGTGGGCTACCGTTCGCGGTGGAGGAGTGACCGGTCAGGCGGAGGCTATTACACTGGCTGTTGCACGGGCTCTGCTGGTTCACGAACCGGCTCTTAAGCCTATCCTGCGGAAGGGTACGTATCTCCGACTCCCGATGAATTGGGTCGTGGTGGAGCGAATTGCTGACCGATTTATTTTCTTACAGCTGGTGTGGTTACCGTGGATGCCCGTCGTGTGGAGAGAAAGAAGCCCGGTCATGTCAAGGCCCGCAAGATGCCCACCTGGGTCAAGCGGTGAAAGCATACCTGCCTACCTTACGTCCAGCTTCTTCTTCCCTCCCTCTGTTTCATTACTTATGTCCCCTCTCTGGCCTTTTGGAGGGATTGTTTCTCTACCTGTTCTCTTTTTTTCCCCTTTCCCCTTTTAATTTCCTTGATTGTATTATTCCACTTGGCCTTGTGATTCTCGACGAAAGTATATCCTGTATTGCAAGCATCTCAACCCGGTGTCACGAGGATTCGTTTCAGGACACGACACTGCATGTTCTCGGCGACAAGCATGTAACTATTGGCGTTGAACAATTGAACCGAAACTATAAGTGTAGACCATCTGTGCGACGGGGGTGTTGAGCATGATTGGACGTGGTAGAAATGCCCCGTTGACTAAAGAGGATTATCCGAGGGTGACTTGTTTGTCCAACAGTACTTGGGGTTTGTGGTCAATGAGAATGGTCTCTTTCCTCCGACCGTCTTGTCACCACCCCTCCTTAAGACAAAGGGGGGTTCCGTGGGAAGGAAGGGAGGTCAGTTGTTGGCCAGCAGGACGGCCAGACCCGTGGTCGATATAGGGGAAATGTAAAAGGGGGGACATAACGCGATCCAGATGTACATAATCTACTGTATGGTAGGCGCAAACACCGTTAGCCTCTAGAGAAAAGGCGCCGAAGATCATTTTACCAGATTGAACGCCCCAGGAGAGTTAGTAGACCCTCCTAGGTAGCTAGCCAGTCTGATGATCGCCTAGATAGGTTGCGGAATTGAATCCAGCCTGATAATAGTAGCGACCAGAATCTCTCGTTACACAGGGAGCCCCAAGCGGTCGGTAGTGTCGAACCCCAGGACGCGACTATCCATAACGTGGCGCCCCATTGATCGGGGACTGGAAAGAGAGAAAGACGATGAACCGGAAGACACTCTCTGCTTTCCACTGCCTTTCCTCTTTCCCTCCCTATAGAATTGAAGGAGACGGGCTGGAACCTGATGGTGGTAACACAGAGGGCGAAGCGAGGCTCCAGATGAACGAGATGAGACTTTTTTACTACTCCCGGGGCCCGGACGACGCGATAGGAAGGTATATACGGCCGGATCATCCATCAAATGGGTGAGGTTGGTTGTGTCGTCATCCGTTCGATTGGGAATTACCTCCATCATGATTGGGGCGAGCATTTATCTGCCTGCTGCTGTTGCGGTCATGGCCAGCGTCATCTTACATCCTTGTGTCTCGGGAGGTCATGGGATCCTGGAAGTGACTCTATTGGACGATGCGATCGAGACCTAAAACTAGAGTGTTCGTCAGGGTGTGGCGGAGGGAGGGGAGCAGCCAGGGAGTTGGTCAACCAATTGGACCAGGTGGAAGCAGCATCGGTCTGCGCGGACCTATGGGGTGGCAGAGTAAAAGAGCTGCCTTGACGATGCTGATGGTAATTGATAATACTGATGACTATACCGGAGGCATAGGGTAGAGAAAATAAGGGAAGTGGTCTTGTGTGTGGAGTTGAGCCCACCGCCAATGTGCGAACCAGGTGGAGATGATAGTCCCGCGCATAATCGCATTATGGCCTCTCCGCGGATAAGTTGATAATTGGAATTCATGCAATACGTTTGGTGGGTACATTGATTTCATTATTCACCAGACCATTCCAGCTCTGTCAGTGGGCGTGTTTAATAATCAGGCGCATGCAGTTGTGTAGACAAGCTTCCGATTGATACCGAAGAGATTGTATCTCCAGATATCGCCGAGATTAGCGTCGTATAGAGCGCCTTACTATACTGCTGCACGCCTGCTTGGTCGTAGCTCCCTGAGTCAGCGGCTTCATTGGGATAATGACAGAACACTCGGATCCACGGCTGGCACGAGGAACAGCTGTCAGAATAAGCACGAGGCAAGGTCATCGTATGTCGCCTGTTCCATTGTCTTGGACTTGGACTTGAAGATCATCGTCATTGAATAGCCACTAAAGGAGGCGATGGTCGACTGATGACTGCAATCCTGAAATCTAGTGTGAAAGTGGTGAGGCTGGACCCGCCTCACTTTCATTCCCTTGAACCTTGGAAAACATGTCCTATGAGCTCCGTATATCCCTCAAGAAGACTCGGACCCATGATTTGGAATCTCTTTACGTGGAGACGCCGTACTTTCTGCGCGTGCGTGGGGATCACGGCCCCCCAGGTCTGGCTTTAGTTTCTGACAGGCCCTAAAAGCGGCGCCGGCTCTTCGGACGCCGTTCTAGTGCACGCCGGGCTTTCCCCCCTGTCACGCCCTACCACTTAGCGCTCTGCTGGTGCTGGTAGTGCGAATATTCCCCCCAAAACCATGACAGAAAACAATTAAAAATCAGAAAGTAGAACACATCTAACTCAAAATAAGACAAGGAAAAGGAATAAGATCAGACAGCCCGGTCACCTTGCGCTGCAGACTAAACTTAGCTTGCTCCAATTGCAGTGCTGCAGATCCCCCCTGTTGCCCCGACAAGCGTGGCATCGATTGGTCGCTGAAGGTGCACGACCTTCCCAGCAGGCCGGAAGGTGTGCGACCCGGCAGCTTAGCCAGGCACGGCACGATCATTGACTTTAACCATCGATTGAGCGACTTCAGTGGCTGTAGGGTGATCCTTGATCGGGATAGGACCAAGCAGAAGTCTGCAACAACCGACAGAAGTTCCTGCGAAACCTGGACCGTGCTGGGCAGTGGTAGCTGGATGGCTGCATAATGCAAAGACCATTATTTTCCCGACCCGGTTCTCCATACTTGGTCTATGCTGCTGGGACATCATAATTCGCTGTATTTAAGCATTTTGGTACACAATAATGCACTGATCGATCCACCATCCAGCTCCCCGGTGTCGTCTAATCCCAGAAAGCGGTTCTTCCCGTGGTCCTAAGCCGATCTTCGTAAAGTTCAGTGGCCATGGCGGTGGGTTTCCGTGGAACCGGACTGCAAAAGTAGTACTGCTTCTTGCCTTGTTCTGGGTGTTCCTTCGGCTGCATCCAATTTACTTTTTTCTTCTACTCCTTTCAATACAGATGGGCGTAGATCTCCCCGGCTTGCAAACCCGATCCAGAAGACTGGTACACGGTTCGGTGCATGGACCAGAAGACGATCACCCAAATAGCGTTTCGGAAGGGCTTAAAGTTGACTTTAAAGGCTGTTCGGGGAACTCGGCCCAGTAGGTGGGAATCAATCGATTGATCAATCGATCCATTGATTATAGAGCGAGTGGACGAATCCCCGAATTTGGAATGAGGACCAGGGATTCTCAGGTAGTGGTGGAAAATTGAAAAGCTGAGGTTAGCTCGGACGGCTTTAGTCCCTAACTAGTAGATACTAGAGAGGACTTAGAGGATCCATACCTGGGTCAGTACATATGTAGTTAACTAGTTATGGGCCGTCCCCTCTTGGGACAATTAACCTTAATCGAATCCTCCAGGAAGCAATCAGAGGAAGAGCGGACAGTAAGACGAGGAAGTGCTGGCTGGGTGCATGAACGGATAGTGTGATATGGAGATGTAGACTAGATGCTGGAGAGTCGGGTTCGAGCAGGTACTTTTCAGCCCCGAATAGCCCCGCGCGCCTCGTGTCTGACTGATCTTCAGCACGATTGCAAAGTTCCTTGGCTCCAGACTTTTTGTTTTTTTATTTTTTTCCTTTTCGCAGGAATGCGATGGATCTGAGGCGGCTCCTGTGGGGGCCACCATCGTAACTATGAAGTGATCCTAGTGATCCTCCTGTCTGTCGCCCACTCTAGCTCCACATGCTCTCTCTCACACACTCTCACTTTTCTGTCTCAGCACCATCCATCTTCCGTAACCTTCTCTCGCATCCTTTGGCCATCGTCCCGGTGGATTGGTCCGCAAAAGGAATATGAGCTGATCAATTAGTTCAGCAGAAGGAGCCATTCTGGGTTCGCATCAGTGACTGATACCGTTTCGGGACATAGTGCGTCCCATTTGGATGGATCAATCAGTTTTCCACTTTGCCGCGGTGGGGGATTTTCTTAAGGAGGAAGAAGAGAAGGAGGGGGGGAATTCAAGGAAGATGATGATAAACAATGAACGAAAGAGAGTGGAATAATTACTAAACCATACAAACAATGATGCTTTGCTCTTTCCGCTTTCTTTCCGTTGTTGTTCTCGTTGCTGCTGCCTCTGCTGTGGTTGTCAGGTATTGAATTAGGCTCAGCCTGCCAATCTATTTGTGACCAAAACACACAAACATCCCTCCTACATTTTAACCTAAATAATCGATCCAAATATGACCATGATACAAATTTAAGAAAACCCCCAAAAACCCCCCAAGCATTAAAACAGAGGATTTAAATTTATGTGTTCATGAAATTCAAATGTTATCCATTCTCCACTCAATTTCGGAGAAATAAAAATAATAAAATAATTTCCCCCTTTTTTTCTTTAGAAAAAATGGAATCAGAAAAAAGAAACAAGCCACTGCAGGGAAAATGGCAGGAGGAAAAAAGGAAGAAAAACAAAAAAAAAAAAAGCCCTCCTGCATCTGGTTTGATTGCTGGATTAGCCTCTGCGTTCCCTCGTTTCTTTTTCCTTCATCCCAGGGATTTTTTCCATCTCGGTGGGCTTCGTTTGTTTTTTCGCCCTCGTTTCTGTCGCATTCTAGTCATCGCTGATGTCTTATTCGTTTCTTACTTTTTTCTCGGGTCTGCAAGTCTCTCGGATGGGTCCATTATGCGCGCGTGAAGGAGGGTCTCTCAGCCTGTCTCTTGGGCTTTCCGGTGCCCACTTGGGGTGGGTGAGAAGCGACAAGAGAGATGACTGACTGAATGAGAGTGAGTGAGTGAGGGACTGACTGACTACTGACTCGGACTGAACCTGATTCGGCCTGATCTGATTTGAGCTGACCCGACTTGATACTGGCACCCTTTTTCTTCTGTTTCATGGTTTCCTGCTGTCCATCCTGACTAACCTGATCGACCGGCCCCAGAGGCTTTCCAATAATTCCCTGCGGATCTTCCGGCCTGTTCTTGTCCCATCAGTCTGGTTGCTCGATGCTATAAGTAATCCGTGCATCCCAATCCTCTCCCGGTCCGCTAATCCCCCACTTCTCCCCTCCTCGCTTGCCCTCATCCATCTTCTTCCTTCGTCGTCATCGTCGTTGTCGGCGTTGTCTTCTTCTACTTCATCTTCACCCTCCTCATCTATCTCTTAAGTATTCAGGATTAGGAGATCCGAAGTTGTTCTCAGCCAGTACTGGTCTTCAACTGAGATCTGGAGCATAAGCATAACTCAAGTCCCTCTCTTGTCGACCCCACTAGGTTCCTATTTCCTGGCATCACCCTATCAGTCTCCATCTTCGTCTTGTGGACTATCCTATATCGGGCTTTCTTTCCTCTCTCCGAGTGGGTTAGAAATACCCCTCCTTTCGCTTGTCCTCCCCCCCGCCATCCCAGTCTTCCACATATATCGAACCAGGGTTGTGCGATTCATCCCCAAACCAGGGTCAAACCATCATCTAGGACACATTTCTGGCTTTTCTACAAGGTGCGCAAACCTCCATAGTAGACAAATATCCCCTGCAGGTATACCTCTGCATTCATGTGGGTTTGCGACGACTGATCGGTGGGTGACTATCTAGATCGCGTGCGCTGGTTGTACCCGCGTCCCTGCGCTGAAGTGAAACCGTGAGACCCTCCGCGCGCTTACCTGCGATTCTTGTTGGCTTGGATCTCAATTCCCTGCTAGCAAGAAAAGCCACCGAGCGAATAAGCTAGGGCATCCCACCTCCTACCTCAGAAACAGCCGATCGCGCCCTCCCGCCAAGCTGGAATCCTACGTGAGCCCGCCACTCTCCCCACTCGCGCATTGGTCTTTCGACCTCGATCCAGTGCATGGGGGTATGGATGGCGAGATCCGGCGCATGAAGCAGCATGATCTTCACACCCACTTTGCGACCAGAGCTGGCATGTCCCGCCGCGCGGCGGATCGCTTCAGACAGACTGGGGTGCCATCCGCACGGGGAGATCCCTCTCAGACTGCCGGGCGTCCTCGAGTGCCAACGTACATAGACTATGGATACACCGATACTTCCTTTCAGGGCGGTTCGCTGCAGGGGGATGAGTTGCAATCATACACACCGACGTTGCGCGACCAACAGCGCCAGCATCAGCCGGTACACCAGCCGTTAGCTCCTTATGACTCCGAGATGGTATACAACCTCAGCCAGCAGGACCCGGGACAAGCCCCGTACGAGCTCGTCCCACCATACCCGGCACGGCAATCTGCAGCGATGGAAGCACTGTCTAGTCAGTTTGGTGTTCCACAATATTTCCCAGCAAATGAACCGACGGCCACAGGGGTTCCGGCCATGGGTCCGCCCTACCTGTCATCGCAGCTCCCTTTGTCCGCTTATAACCAAGCCAGCGCCATTGGACGCTCGAGCGCTCCGCACGTCTTTCCCGCAGCTATGGCCGAACTGACTCCAGTGGGAGCGTCTGGACGTTTGGAGCAGCCTCCGTCGCCGTCGCAGCAACAACAGCAGCAACAACAACACCTACAAACACCGTCCCGGGTGGGGTCCGAGTCGACTGGCCTGAAGGAAGCGTATGCTCAATTCCAACGAGCATTACGAGAGACATTCGATAGTACGCGCGCCGGCCGATTGGTAGAAGCTAGTAGATCACTCTTGGAAATCTCCGAGTGGCTTGTGACCAATGCGCGGGAGCTCGGTATGTCCCCTTAGCGTTTTCACCATTTCCCACGCCAATGGGTTTCTTACCCACCCCCCCTCTTTAGCTCCTGGCCCGGACACTACCTGCATGCACCTAAAAAAGCATGGTTCTTGATTCGCACTCTGCTTGACGCACACAGCGAGACCGGGGTTTGAGCGACTATAATGTGAACCCTGAGGCTAATTCGAGTCTATCAATAGGTATCCTTCGGGACGATCAAATGCTACATGCGGATCGACTACAACTTTGGAATGATTTCAATATTTGTTGGCTAGCGGTATGCCAGAAGCAGAAAGATTTGGCTCAGGAACTGCTGCAAACCGGTCGTCAGCCGCCCCAAACTAGTCTTCTTAGTGGCGACGCGATGGACAATATGGGTAAGGAGCTGATCCAGCTCTGCGATCGTATGGAGCCCCATGGGCTAGTTGATTACCAAATGGGGATTTGGGAGGAGGAGATTCTTTCCAGTGAGTGACTCTCTAGGAACATTTCTTCCCATCATACCGTGGACGGTTTCTAACACGCTTGATAGTCATGGACCAATGTCTGGATATTGTCGAAGGCCGACCGGACGTCTTTCGCTCTCTAACCGCTTCGCGATGACGGGCATTGGCCAATAATCCTAACCTGGGGGTGCGCATAACCGGGTTGGATGCTGGACGCCTAGCGCAGACTCGGCTGGATCGTACTTTTGTGATGGTGGCGGGCTTAGGGCCCCTAACGCAGGGACTAGTTTAGTCTAGTGGATGGGAGCAAAGCCAACCCGACGCCCAGCGCGGACTATCGATTGATAGATCGCGGCGTCCGAGTAAGCCTCGTCACGACTCGTGGCTCACGACTTTTCCTTGGTCTTCTATTTCCTCTTTCGTTTTCTTGACCAGGCCGTCGGTAACCCCCAAAATCTTATCCACAGTTTTGGATACGTCGGGCGTGTTCAGGCACCGCCCCCACTTCATGCTCGTCCCTCGTGTCAGATCATATCCCGGGCCAGGATTCCGCCCTATTGGCAGGAGAGATTCTGAGTATGACACTAATGGGGAAAAGAGCTGGGCGAAAAACAAAAAACAAAAAAAAAAAATGCTGAAAAACCAACAGGGCACTACTTGCTGCCTAGACGGCGTTTGAAGGGTTATGAACACTCCACATCTTTGTTTCGCATTTAGGGGGGCAAAGATCAGGTCGGGCGCAATGGGGTTTCAGGACATAGACCTGGACGGGGGGTGTGAACTGCTTTACTTGGTTGGGATAAAGGTCGTTGGTGGCTGTGTGTGACGCTATGTGATGGCTTAAGTGCGGCTGAACCGCACCGGATCCTGCGACCAGAGATTCATCCTTCTTACCATCTTCGGTCAAAACCCGAGGAGTGATGAATTGATGCCCGACGACGATGGACAAACAGGCAATTGACCGGGGCTGATGTTCTCGATTGCTCTACTGTTTCATTGAGAGCCCGGAATCACCTCAACAGTTCAGGCGGATGGGATTCAATTCCTTGTACAATAGTGTCCCTTTTTTTTCATTTGTTTGATTTCCTTTGTATTAGTTTAGTCTTCGAGATACCCAACTTAGTAGTTATAATAAACCTAGTATTAGTGATCCAGTCTAGTTCACAGCCCAATTAAACGTCGTAACGACAAGGATTAGAGAACTAATAGAAGGAAAAAAGTACGCAAGATTAGATCCTGCAGACGCACCCAGCCAGCAAGCAAGCAAGCAAGACAACATACATACATACATACATACATACATACATATGCAGCATGAGATCATCACCTAACTACAAAGTAACAAATACTACGTAGTTAATTCATGCAAGGTACTTCTTCAGCCCTTCGCTCATGGAAACGTCAAGAATTAATACTCGTCATATACTTGCAAGGATCGGACCCGGGAATCAGGGAATAGTTGCAGTAGTGGGAAACTTTAAGGCTGAGTACCAATTCACATGTACTTTTGTGTTGTGTTCAGCTGGGGTGGAGTGGGTGGGGATCGAAAGGTATGGGGCTGGATTGGTGGGTACGGATGATTAGGGAGATGGGTACTATGGATGGGTTGTCGCGGTTGGGCAGGAAGTGAGATTTTGGGGTGCTTAGTTCGGTAGGATAGGAGGTGGTCACGGGTACTTGTGCTTTGGGGGTATTAGTAGGAATACGAGTAGGTGGTTATGGAGTGAATTATTATGCGTCTGTAATAGTCTATGGGAAAATTATATATTTAAGAAGTACGGGGTAGACAAGAGATCTTCTTGGTAATAGGATTTACTAGTATGGCTGAGTTGACAGGTACTACAATTCATCCCAATTGAAGTAGTTTTGAGCAGGGATTGGGATTGAAATACAGTAGTAAGATGAGATGAAAATGAAGCCTAGGTATCTACCTAATCACTATCTCTGTTGATTGTGTCATTTTGGGCATAGATAAGAAACATAGAAGAAGTATGTGGCGTCCCAGGCGTAGTAATTCCATAATACCAGCAATGGGGACTGGATTAGTTGCTGTCCTGACCTTGCAAAAATGTTGCATATTCAGCCAACTTCTGTAGTGCAATATCCATACTTCATCCGGAATATTGAACCCCAACCACTGTCGGTTTTTCTGGGCGCCCTGTAACAGTATAAGAGAACTTTGTCCCCAGCACAGGATCGACGATAGGATCCCGCAACAGCGCAGGAAAATGTATCCTTCCATATTGCCTCTGCGTCGTATATCCCATCAGATGACGCACGGAGATATCGGTGAGTGATGAGAATTCGGAAAGAGTCCTGAAAATGGCTGCCCACGCCCCAGAACCAATTGTGAAAGAGCCGATGTGTATTTTGACCAAGGTCCGCTTGGAAGAGAATAAAAGCCTGATCAAATCCTGGTCTGAGTCTACGTTGCCACACATCAGATGCAGCTCTTGTAGTCTCAGGGGAGGCCGTGTCGTCAAAGACATTTGAAACATAAGAGGCGCCGCGCATTCGCCAAAAGAAAAATCAATTGTCAGTCGTTCTAAGCGATTCTTTGCATGGTGTATGAAATGTACCACAAAGTTAACCTCTTCCTCTTCTTCCACTTCAAACTTGAACGTGATGGCTTCCAGAGTAGAACAGCACGTAGTGATGAACTTTGGGTCGTGGAGGAGGCCGTTGTGAACGCGGGACAAGTCGAGATGGTCGAGCGAATAGAAACCTGGCCGTTTGAATAGAATACTAAGCTCTCGTATTGGACGCTCTATTGCGATTAAAATGCTGAGCAGGACTGTGATAGTATCATCAGGGGTTGTTTTGTCGAATGGGTCGGGGTCATCAAGCGGATTCCATCTGTGCAGACGAAAACTCTGGCAATTCACTAGGCGCAGTAAGACTCCTTGCCACCTTTGAATAGATTCTTGTGGAACAACAAGGAGTCCAGAGCGGTGATGTTCCCACGTAAGTCCCGATCCTATGATATCCTTCTCTGTGCCATCGATACTTAATGTTTGGACGAGGGAACACAGTTCTTGATTCCGCGATAACAAGTCAAGTTTTTGAAGTGATGTAAGAGACAGGTCTGTTGTTATGTTTTCCAGGTATTTGCAAAACAGAGGAAAGGTGCAGTCATGTATGGCCTTGCAGGTGAGACGGAAAGAACACAAGGCTGAGCAGTCCAGGCAGGCGCCTATAAGTAACAACAGCTCAGCTGGCAGGGTGCAAATAGGAAAATAAACCGACCTTGACGGACTCATAATGATTGTTCTGAGAAAGGAGGAAGAGTATAGGCGCTTCGGCAAGGCTGAGAGAAGTGATATAGTAAGTTGTTTACTACTATGTAGAACGTCCCCGCATCCTAGATTACATCAGCGGGGGCCAGGAGATCCTTCCTATTTGAGAATGGGCCCTAGTAGGGTCATTCGAGGACTGTTGGTATTTTCATCATCTCTATGCTTATTGCTGTCTCGAATCGGTTCTCAGAAGATACAGTATGGGGTTGTCCCTTTAAGCTTTTCGTGAGTGCATACTTACATACATCCAACATACCTAGGAGACATGAATTAGGAAACGATTTAAGTGTATGTTAGTCATTTGAGCGTGGTACTCCCTGTAAACGAATAAAGAGGCGCACCTAAACTGCATCTTCGAGGGCTGCGATTTCCCAATCCGGTTAGCGGGGATCCTTCGGTCTAGATAGTCCCATCCTTGCTCACTCAGCGACATGCGCACACGTAGCCTAGACATTCTAATTCTATATGCCTTTCGAAACTTCTGGCACCTGTTGTGGTGTCTGATGCACTAAGCAATTTGCTCTGCTGCTGGATATAGGTTTCTGATTCCTCCATCCTGACTATGTCGAGATGTGCAATCCTCAATCCCTGAAGAACAATACACATCTTACTAAGTCCCTGATTGGTGGACTCGAAGAGAGTAATTCGCGTCTGAACCGGTCAGGAAAGTCTCGCATAAGACACTGGGCTCCGAAAGTGAAGACCGGTTGTATGACTTGCCGGTAAGACTAATATTTCTGTCGCTGGGACATGAGTTGTTGATACAGGCAGGATCCGGAGAGTGAAATGTGACGAGACAAAGCCCGTGTCAGTAAGCTTCTCTGGCCGGTCATATTAAAAGTAGTATAGCCAGAGCTCGCTGACGGTTATGACTCTGCAGTTGCCAGCGATGCTCTTCTACCGGAAGAAAGTGCGAAGGCTACAATTCAGTCCCCCAAGGGCCGCCCACTACGGTCCTCGGCGTGGTACAGATGCCTTCCTATTGGGAAGTAGTATCAAGTAACCCTGTAGAGACCGAGAGTTTTCGGTTCTTTCACTCAGTCACTACCCCCAATCTGGCTGGCTTCTTCGACCAGGGCCGCTGGGCTCGCAGATTGCTCCAAATGTCGCACCGATACCCGGCCCTGTGGCATGCTATGACGGCGGTGGCCTGCATTCATCGAGACTTCATAGCCAACAGCACGCCGATTACCATGTCAAGAATGCAGGATAGCCCCCAGGTGAGACTGGCGTTGCAACAGTGGAACAAATCCATCCAAAGTCTGCAAGAACTGTTGTCCGGACAGGTTTTGACCATATTAGACAGACTGGTCATCCTGAGTGTTTGCATCTTATTCATTACCATGTCAAGTCTGCAGGGCCGTCTATGGCAGGCTTTCGTGCACATCAACGGCGGACTGAAGCTAATTCACCAGTGGAAATTGACGGACAGAGGTGAAGACAAGAGAGATGAGGATTCAGATCTGGATGTGTTGCTGGTCTTGTTTACCCAACTCGACTCACAAGCGCGCCCCTATCTTCCTAGTCTTTCGAATAACCTTCAATGGACGGACAAGCAGATCATTTTGTCGTCGTCTACCGACCCCTTCAAGTCTCTGCTAGAGGCATGTGTTGCCCTGGAGGTGCATTTCAACAAAATGATGCAAATATTTACGAATAATTCCATATATATAAACGGTCCAGACGCTGGGATGCAGATCAAGAGACAACAGTGTCTTCTTGGTCTTACCGAATGGGATATCAGGATTGACAAATACCTTAGAATAACACCGCAGCTACAAGATGAGAGGCCTTTGTTACTTCTCTATGTCCGGCGCAGACTCACACAAGTGGCTCTGTCCATGGACCTGACGAAAGGCGAACTAGCTCATGATGACTTCTTCGAGGATTATGCGTACATGCTCAATTTGATGGGGGACATTCTCAAAGATCCCATGAATCCGTTAGACAGTCAGCCTAAGAGATTATACCGGGTTCAGAAGATGAGCTTCCATCTGGAGACAATCACGACAGAGCCATTATTCCTAATTGCACTGCGCTGTCGCGAACCTACGATAAGACGTCAGGCGGTCCGCCTACTCCGACAGTACCCACGGCGTGAAGGCATCTGCGAAGGGATGGCAGCCCTTAAGATTGCGGAACGAGTAATGGAAATTGAAGAGGAATGTTTGTCTAGCCCTGGAAATGCTTGCGTTTATGGGAAGTGGATATGTGAGAACCACCGAGTTACTTGGCTACAATTCTTCCTGGTTCATGATCGGCAGGCGCGGACTGTGGTGCACACTCGGGAGGATCTGCTGCACGGCCGGCCCGGAAGAGAGATTGTGACGACGTATTGGTGATTTTACTTTTATCATAGATTAGATCCGAATGTTGCTAGACGGCATACTGAACAGGCTACTGCTATGAGTGATGAGGAAGATGACATGGATGTATACACAGATCCAGATCAGCTATACCTAGATGTTACTAGACAACACTGAATGGTCAATAAGACGGACATACAAAGATGTATTATCTCATAGCAACGTATCAAAATTACATATTACCAATGTATCAACAAATTATCCATCCTCCACATGAGCACTCTATCCTCTTTCATACCCGAAGTCTCTACCATTAATCTCTTCCCCCAATAACAGTAACCAACCCAGTCTTGAAAGAAGCATCAGGAACAGTACTCGAAGGAGCAGCAGTATCAGTAGTAGACGACGACGACATAATACCCACACAAACCTCCGTATCAGGAACCAACCCCTCGAGACAGTTTCTCTTCCCCGAGAGAGCCGGATTCCAGGTATACAGATCTGCCATGGTGATGCCGTTGAAGTGCATGATGTCGTAGCAGTCGTCGTGACTATTCATACAGACCAAATTAGTTAGTCATTGTGCTGATTGGGGAGTGGGGGAATGAGGGTAAAATGTAGAGAAGGGTTACTCACATCGACACAAGCCACCATTTATTACAGTCCTTAGTAACTCCCGGTTGACGACGCGGACGGGCCGTGGGGAAGCTCATGGCAGTAATTACGGGCCTTGTTCGGGTCTTGGGAGTGCTGGGGTCGGCGACGCAGTAGTAGTAGCCGTTCTATTCATTTGTGTTTAACTCATGACTCCGTACCAAAGTAATTTTTTTGAGGGTGGTAGAATGTGAAGGAAGAAGGGGAAAGGGGAAGGGAAAATACGTACCTCTAAACCATAGCATTGGACACCGATATCAGGATTCCACGCCACGAACTGAGCCTTATCGAACGTGCCAAACATCTCCACGATCAAGTCGCACGTATCACCATCATCCTTCTTGTACCAGGCCGTGCAGTTCTTGGCTGTGCCTGGCTTTAGCGGATAGGGCTGATTAGTGACGGTGGGCGGGGAGGGGCGGTTGGTATCGTTGTAGGCTGCGATGCAGTAGGAGTAGCCTGGAAGGATACCGGAGCAGTCTGCTTTCAGGGCTGGGTTCCATTCCAACAGAAGAGGGAATTTCAGCATGGGGTTGCTGGCGAGGATTTGGTCGCAGGTGTCGGACTGGTGTTTTGTCGGTTAGTATTAGTGTGTATGGATGTTTGTGTGGTGGTGGTGGTGGTGGGTAGGTAGGTAGGGAGACTTACAGGCTGAGCTTCGTAAAAGGCAGAGCAGCTTGGGGCGAGACCGGGTTGGGTTTTGGTGGGTGGGTAGACGGATGTCTCCGTTGGAGTGGGACGCGGCGTCCAGGGAGTGGGATCGGGGACTGTGTCGTTGGTGGTGGGATAGATTATGGTTAGAGCAGGGCGTTTGATACCCACGCACACCCAGTAGCCGGCGATGGGGTAGTCGCAGTCTGCTTTAAGGTCGGGGTTCCATTCCAGTCTGTGGTTGTGTATGTTAGTTAGGGCTGACTCGGGTAGGATGGATGGGTACTTACAACTCGTCCATGGTAATGCTGTTGCCGTGGCGCTGGTAAATTGACCTGCAGGTGTCTCCTGGCGCAACTAGATACCATTTGTCACAGTCTTTGGGCTGGCCGGGATGGGTCTTGGTCGGAGGCCATGCGGTGTCAATGGAAGTTATGGTCTGGTTGTATGAGGTGATGGGGTTGCGGGTTGAGTAGGTCGCGTTGGTCGTGACCATTGTGCTGGGGAAGGGGCTAATTGGTGGGCGTGAGCTAGGAGTAGGTGTGATAGAGGGCGAACGGGGGATTGTAGAGGTTGAAGTTCTGGGAGTGGTGGGAGTGACAGGAGTACTTGGAGTGGTCAACGTAGTTGAAGTGCGGGATGTACTTGGAGTTGACGTAGGTGGGTTGGAAGTGGTAGAAGGTTTGGGCGTGCTCAAGGTGGTTGAAGTGGTCAACGTGGTCGAAGCACTTGAGGTAGAAGTAGTGGGGATACTCGAAGTCGAAGTAGTGGTACTAGACGTGCCCGATGGGGACAGGGCCGTTGTCAATGTAGTTGAAGTACCAAGAGTTGTAGACGGGCTAACAGTCGTAGTCACAGTAGTAGTAACTATTACCGTAGTCTGACCATTCGAAGTCAAGGTTGTGGTCAAAGTGAGCGTGGTGGTGAATGTGGTGAAAACAGTCGTTGGGGACAGACTAGTCGAAGTGGTCGACGTGCCGGTAGTCCAAGTAGTTGAGATAGTAGACGTAGGAAGGACGGTTGTCGAAGTGGTCGACGTGCCAGTAGTCCAAGCAGTAGAAGTGGTGGAGGTGGTAAGGGCACTTGTCGAAGTAGTGGACGTAGTCAAAGTGGTTGAACTCGTTGTCGTCGAAGCCGAAGTCGCTGTCGCTGTCACAGTCGAAGTCGAAGTCGGGGCAACCGGCCCAACGCCCACGCAGTACGCATAATCTGCCCAGAAATTGACCAAGCAGTCCTGAGAGACAGCCGGATTCCACTGCTGGAATTGCTGGGGGGTGATGCCAAAAGCCTTCTCGACTGCGTAGCAAGTATCACCCTTCTTGGCAGTATAAAACTGAACGCAATTTGGGGCAATCCCTGGCATAGTAGGACCATGAGGACCATTTGCGGCCGGCCCAACACTCACGCAATAAGCATATCCGGGCCAGAAGTTGACCAGACAGTCCAACGAGACAGCGGGATTCCACTGCTGAAACTGCTGCGGAGTGAGCCCGAAGGCTTTCTCTACTGCATAACAGTAATCTCCTTTTTGGGCAGTGTACCACCGGTTACAATTTGCTGCAATGCCAGTCATGGTTGGGGCATGAGGAGCAGTGTCTGCAGATGTCGGAATTGCTACCGGTCCAACTCCCACGCAGTATGCGTAGCCCGGCCAGAAGTTGACCAGACAATCACGGGAAACTGCAGGATTCCACTGCTGGAATTGCTGTGGAGTGAGTCCAAACGCCTTTTCCAACTCATAGCAGGTATCACCCTTTTTGATAGTGAACCATCGGTTGCAATCAGCTGGGGTTCCTGACATGGTTGGGCCATGAGGGGTGGGATCTGCTGCAATGCCAGCGACATCGATAGCTGGGGATTGAGCAGCTGCAGTCCATAGCAGTAGCAGCAGGGCAGACAGCCATGTAGGAAGAGTACCCATTATGGTGGATAGTTCCTGGTCGGTGTTGTAGTGAGAGAATCTGTAGGGACTGTAGGAGAGGGAAAAAGAAGGTGGTGAGGGAAAGAAAAAGAGAGGGAGGGAGGAGTAAAAGCAGTAGAATTTATGGCAGCTTTACAGAGAGAAAGTTGTGAGAAAGAGTGAATGAATAGTGTGAAGTAGTGGAATTGAGGCAGAGTCACGGGCTGGCAGTAATGAATTGATTAACTACAACTTCTTTTTGTCATTCCCCACATTAACTCGTTCTGATTACGCCATACACATTTGTCCAAATGCCATTCCCACAACAGCGAAAGAACATGTAAAGCTACCCTCTCCCTCTCTGACTCCCACTCACATCAGCAGGCTCACCAGCCTCTTGGCAGAAAGTGGTTTCTAGGTCGAACAGCCGGCATATTGTCTGAATGTCGAAAAGCTAGGGCTTCTAGGATCATTGAACAGGGTCCTCACTGGAATCCCATACACAGTAGTATAGAGAAGCGATAAGCCAGTCACATCATCAGGGGTAGGGGTCTGTGGCTCAGGCCAAAGTTGGAAATCCGATGTCATAAGAACTGCTTCCTTTTCTCCATTTTCATCCCTCTTCCCGCCGGTGGTAGAGCCGTAGAGCATAATTGAATTCCAGTCAACGTCGTCTTTGCCGACCCACATCCCCTTAGGGGTCAGGACCTCATCAAACGGCAGAGGAAGATAATTAGTAGGTGTAGCTCCAAGGTGATCAGCCTCCTTGTAGCTCGTGCAGACGCCATCCGGTTCCCAGATTTCAGCCTCTGATAGGCCCTCGGTGAAAGAGGTATAATCAGACAGAGCCTCACAATCGAATACAAACAGCTCCCTTCCTCTGTGCCAATAATAAGGATTTTGGTGCTCGTGGTGCAATCCAAATGAATGTGCGAGCTCGTGAGCAATGCTACCAACTCGGTACTCCTCTGTGTCACTCGGTAGCAATGATACATACATTGCAGGGGCAGTAGGGGGTGGCCCATTGTTAGGGTTTAGGTAGGACATAGAGGGGAAACCAACAAAAGTGGCAAGCATTTCGGGAGTATCCATTACCAGCAACTGTTCATGTGGCGTGTTCTGGCATCCATCTCGGCCAACCTCCCTCACTTTGAAATCCTCGGACAGCCCCGACGCATACCATAATCTCATTGCATTGCGGTAGTAATTATGATATTTTCTCCAGGTTGCTTCGCTTTCATAGCACAGCTTGACGGTCTTGTCGGGCCAGAGGCGGGACCAGGGCTCTACTGACTTGACTGACACCCATTCCGGAAGCATGAATCGAGCATGTTCCCACTCAGGGTGTCCAGCATTGACCGTGGGGGAGATAGGCAGTTGGAGAAGGAGGAATGGAAGAAGATTCGCCCATATTCTGAGGAGTATCATGGTGTCCGAATCGTTCTGAAATGATGGACTTGAAAGGCAGGTGCACAGAATCAGGATCAGAAGGGAGGAGAGAGATATTGGGGCGAAATGGCGAGATAGAAGGTACAGAAGAAGATAATCATAATAAATAGAGAATGAAAAGACAAATCCATTTCAGGAAGCAGGTTGTTGGTTCACTACAAGCAATTCACGAGACATGCACGTGCATGGATATTCGTAAACACCTAATATAGCATATAGAGCGAATACTATTCGGAAGTGTTGATGTATGTGAGCTTTCTCAAATTTGCCAGTAATATCAGTAGGTCAAGTAGTGCGAATCATTCCCAGTACTCTGAAAAGTCACGCTGAACATACAAATTTTCATATTATTCCAAACCTAATTCACGGTTCATTCCTGTGCTCCTTCCATCACTTCTACAGCTTCACGATATTATTGGAATAATCTCTTGTTATTAGTCATTTTGAGCTCGCAGAAGCTTGCTAATGACATATTTAGACTACACAGTCACTATTATTCTCCAACAGTCTGGACATCCACGCATAACTTGCCCGATCCCATCATATCCCAGCCTTCATTTACAGTTCGTTCTTGTGCACTCTAGGCTATGAAGCGGAATAAACAGCTGGTTCAAATTTGATAATAACATCCATAAGCTAAACAATCTCAATTATCCATTAGTTATCTTGAAGATCCACCCATAACATGCATACACCCCTCAGATTCTAGCCGTCCTTCACAGTTCATTCCTATGCTCCTTCCACCACTTCTTCCACCCCAGAACATCATCAACGTCTCTTCTCCCAGCTTCAGGAATAGGATTGCGCCGAGCAGGGAGAATCCTTGATTTGTTCTTTCCCATAGCACCCCCTAGAGCGTCGATCATAGTTCCATCATCCAGATCAATTGCCCAGACCATAGTTCCCCCAAGGCACCGCTTGTTGGCATAGTCCATCTTCATCCGTAGGGTCTCTTGGTTATCAATGGAAACCCATTGATCCTTGTCCCAGGTTACGATGGTAACCGCCGCGTCTTTGTCGAGAGTCACGTCGGTACCACCCTTCTGAATGATCTTGTTGACCTCATACGTGGCCAGCACTCCTGGTGTGCCGGTACATTCGCCTGCTCGCGCCCCTCCAGAGAACTCACAGCCAGGCTTCTTGCACCCGGGATCCTTCATCGTGAAGCTGCGGCCATAGAAGCCTAGTCCAAGGTTAACTCTCTCCGGATTGATGTTGTTGCGCCAGAGAAGCTCTAGGGCGCTGTTAATCTCCGTTAGATTAGTGTGTGCGAAGGCGTACGGTCCAAGCTGCTTATTCGTGGAGTCCCAAGTGCCGTCTGTAGATCAGTCAGTGAGGTTAAGTTAATTTGATCCAGAATCGCATCCCACTTACGAATATCATAAGACATGACGTTAAGGAAATCCACATGCGGCTCGAGATTGACAATATCGAATCCCCTCAGGTACCAGTAGGATGTCGGCTGCAGGACGTTAACACCATGCTTATCAGGAGGAGAGACAATCTTACCAGAGTGATGGAAATTCCATACTTCCTTCCTGTCTGGTTCAACCGTTCCCTCAGTCTCTTCACCAAAGTCACAAAATTGACATAATCCTCGGGTTTCCCGCCCCGTTCATCTGTCACAGGGTATTCCCAGTCGATATCTACGCCATCAAACCGATTATTCTGCATAAAGCTAATCAGGGATCCGAAGAACGTATCCTGAGCGGCCTCGGAAGCGGCCAGATCAGAGAAAGTGGTTCGAGTCGGACCCGGGTCATTGAATGCCCATCCCCCAATGGCAATCCACACCTCGAGATTACTCTGTTGGCGCTTGAGTGCCGTCACGCCCTGGTACAATGACGCAGTGAGATTGTCCATGGCAGTGATGCGGAATGACTGAGGGTCGATTGAAGCGAATGCGTAGTTGATGTGAGTGTAGAAGCCGAGAGGGATATCGGCTGGTCCCATTTCTGTAAGAAGCTGTGTTAGTGATGAGTTGAAGGAATAATCTCGAGCAACTCACTTCCACATGGGCGTTCCAAGTTCCACCCCTCGTAATACCCAACTGTACGCTTTTTGGCACTGGTGCCGCCGCATTGGGGAGACACGACGGTGGCATCGCCACAGAAGTCCTTGGTGGTTCCTGTAGCAGATAATTAGGTGAGGTTGAGATGAAAGATGAAGAGTAGGAACCCACCGCAGAAGCCGAACTTGCTACAACAAACATTTAGCGGACAAGTGGACGCTTGAGACCATTCTTTACCCCAACCAGGATCGCATTCGCTCTTGCGATCACAGTTCGAGGTGCAATTTTTGCCGCAGGATTCAGGACCAAAACCACAAAAAGCCGAACCAGTGGAGTCACTATTCCAGTGGTCAGTAATGTTTAGATCGAATACAAGGTTTATATGGTAGGTGACTCACATGGGTCCACAGCATCCTATTTTACATCCTTTATCCTTGGCACACTTGTACCCATCATCACTGGTAGAGGAAGTGGGAAGGAGTTGGAAAGGATAGACAGGGTCAAGATTCGACGGAAGAGCTCCCCAGGCGAGATTATGCGCGAAGACAGCGCTTGAAGTCAGTTGCCAACCGAACAGGCAGAGCAGAAATGCCGAAAACACTGACATGTTGGCAATGGTGGTTCGACAAGGTTGGTAGCAGAGTTTCTTTGAAGATGGGATATCGATTCGATGTCCATCTTTTTATGAAGGAAAGGAAAGGAACAGTGATTGACCTGAGTTCGGGCCAACGTGTGTTCACGGGAACTTCATATTCTGCATGTCTTTCACTTCTCATTGAACTTCACAGTAACAGAGAAGAAATTTTTATAGATATTTGTCATGGAGGATTGTTATGGACATTTGTCAAGGTGGATCGTGCTCGTGAATCGTGCTTGTGTGCTCGTGTGCTCGTGTGCTCGTGTGCTCGTGAATATGCCTGAATGATTTGAGATGTTAGGTCTAGTTCCCGGCTCATGCTCCCTCGATATAAACTCGAAAATATCCTCATCCAAAGCTTTTCCTCCATCCTCCTGTTCTCTTTCATCCCATCCCCCGGCTCATCTTCGCGCAGTCCGTTCCAGGATGTTTTGGCTCATATTTCTGCTGGTGATTCTTGTCACTGGCAGTCCTGACATTAATACTCCTCCACATGATCCTCCCTCATCTGATCTACCCATCACAGACCTCACCTTCGTTCGCAAATGGGCAGCCATTGGCGACAGCTACACAGCAGGCATTGGTGCTGGTGATCTGTGGAGCGATAAAAAAGAAGACACCAAATGCTCCCGCTACGACAAGTCGTATGTAGCACTTCTGAAGCATGTGTTGGGTCCACAAGTGACCAATTTCACATACACGGCATGCAGTGGCGCTCGTACTAGCGACATTTACAGCCAGGCCCAGGACCTTGATAAACTACACGACCTCATAGTCCTGACCGGTGGAGGAAATGACTTGTGCTTGGTATGCTAGCCTCTCCTTCATCTCACTATAGTGAGCCTCTAACTGACTACCTGGCCAGTCCGATATCATCACCACCTGCATCTTTCTCCCTTTCAAAAGCGAAGAGAAGTGCCAGAAGGTCATTGAGTTGGCTCAAGAGAACATCAAGTTTATCCTGGGGTACAACGTTCGCAGGATCCTCGAAGTCGCTGTGAGCAAGGTGAATGCTTTTGGCATCATTGTCTGGGCTCTCTACGGCCAGTTCTTCAACACGGAAACTGATGACTGCGAGAAGAATCAGGACTGGGCCTTCCCTGGTCTGGCTCCATTCGATGCTTTGCCTTTGACTCGCGAGCGTCGCGAGAAACTCAATCAACTGGTTACTGACACAAACAAGGTCATTAAGAAAACCATCGATGATTTTGTCATGGATAAGGGAAAGTATTTCCCAAGAGTGCATATCCGTACTGCCGATTGGAATGACTTCATGAAAGACGGCCTCAAAGGACAGTACTGCGTGCCCGAATCAACAGGCAAATATCCCGATCCCATGCAGCCGAACTTGCATTTCTTCAAGCCAGACACCACCTATGAACGCCACACGGAACTGAAAGCGAAGCGCGACAACATCACCGACACCTCCTTTTCCTCCTCCGCCGATACTAATGACACCCTTTCATCTTTCTACGACTCTATCCTCTACCGCTCTCCCAACCCGGCTGCAGCTGCCCTTTACGAGCTGAATCCCACCGGCGTAACCTTACCCCCAGGCTGCCCGGGTGACAAAGGTATGGGATTCGGGCTCCCCGACCGCTGGGGCAAATACTTCCACCCAAACGAGCTCGGCCACAAGACCATTGCCTCCTTCGTGCTAGATGGCATATATGCCGCACGGGCTGATTTCCTAGGCAAGAGGAACCCCATCTGCTCGCGCGGTTTCGAGGAGTTCCGATGCTGGCAAAACGACGGCCGAAAGGACTACGCAAGCGCGGACCTCCTAAACAAGAACTACAAGACCTACTGCAAGGAAGTAAAACCTCCCAAGAAAACAGCAAATTGGAAAGACGAGCGCTGGTTCCACCAACTCACCCCAGAAACGCACAGCTTCAGCATCCAACTCAGCGACGGCGCCACTCACTTCGACCAAGGCCACTGCATGGAGTCCTTCGAACGTATCATCAACTCGTGTGATGGCAATGATCCGAAAAATCCGATGAACTGGAAATTCGGGGGTCGCTGGACTCGCGGGAGCTATACGTATGAAGTTAACATTGCGAACTCGTTCAAGAGACCTTGGCCGCCGACGAGAGAAGTTGGGGGGTTTTGCGATAGCAGTTATAAGTTCTGGTACCAGAGGTATGATATGAGAGGCAGAGGATGGGCAACTTCGGATGCGGGTCAGGATACGCTGAAACCGGCTATTATAAGCTGCGTGGGACACGGACTTACGGGATGGGACTTTCAGTATTTGGATCATCCGGACTCTGATGGAAATGAGTGGGTGGCTAAATTCAATACGCCAATTCTGACGGGACCCAGATGCTTTGATAATAATAGGGTGCAATTCAACGCTGGGGGTTTCACGCGGGGTTGTCATGGGGTGTTGCGACGTGATCCTTGAGGTCAATGAGGGATGAATTAGGGTTACGGGTGAGAAGTGGATTTGCTAATGTGAGTGGGTATGTGCTAAGTGAAGTGTTAAACCGCTATTTAATGATATTGCTATTGAGAAACTGTTTGTCATCTTCTATGATACTAACCTTTAAGTAAGGGGTTAGTACTACATAACTCGTGAGATGCCAACAGTAAGTAACTAAGTGGTTAATATATGTTCAAAGGTGGAGTGATCCTCGGTTTGGTGTCCGAACGTGCAGGATCTGGATGAGGTTAGCAACTCTGTAGACCACCTTATGATCATCGTGACCACATTCTGATTGCAATACAATTCTAAAATTTCTAAAGGTATACCACGTTGTATCTATTTAACCACTCTGGAGGAGGAGTCATCCTCATTCTTTGGCACGTGATCTGATCTACATAGCTGATCTAACCACTCCCGCTCCTTTACATCTGGTAACCTACATACATTATAATCGCATCAATTTAAACCATTTTATCTTATCATAATACCATTGTCTAAAGCTGTTTGTTGTGTCTCACGGTATATTCACATCCATCACCACTGCCTATTCCTGCCAAGTTTGCCAGGTCGCGCCAACCGCGCTGAATTGTTCTCATTTACATTATCATCCATTGCAGGCCAATGCCTTGCTACTCTACAGCTTCAACTAGAAGCGAAGTACTTTATCTGAAGCGAAATGCAATCCAAAATCCGTGCACTGAAGCGCATATTCATCCTTCGCGCCAGTCCTCACCAGCTCTCGCGTTCACTATCTACTACAACTTCCATTCCCCAGCACGAACCCGTGGACGAGGAACTCAGCCCCGGCTACAATCCCAAACACTTCTATCCTGCAAAACCAGGGGAGGTCCTTGCCGATCACTATCGATTGCTGGTCAAGATTGGATGGGGAAGCGGTTCAACAGTGTGGCTCGCCCGAGATGTCGCAAGGCATGTATTAACTTTCATACGTACCTGCGGCCAAAGTGCGCACTTCTAACCTCAATTCGAACCATTTGATTAGATATCGATGGCAAACTGAGCGTATTGTAGCTCTCAAAATTCTCAACAACAACAATCCCAAGGGTGCCGACCATGAGCGTCGTATTGAAGAACACATCGCTCAGCAAACTCTCTCACATCGCGGTCGGCCTGTCATCCGCAGTTACCTTGAAAGCTTTGAATTGGCAGGTCCCATCGACAAACATCTCTGTCTAGCCTACGAGCCAGCACGGGAGCCTTTCTGGCTATACCAAAGACGGTTCGAAGGCGACAGGTTCACCCTGCCGATGCTCAAAGCGTATATTCTTATTATTTTGGCTGGTCTCGATTACCTACATTCTGTGTGCAAGGTTGTTCATACTGGCGAGTATATCTACCTGGCAGCAAAATTCATTGACCTAATACACTATGGTTAGACCTGAAACTCGACAATATCCTCATAACTTTCGAAAGTGAACACATCCTCCCGAGATTCGTCAAAGAACAAGAAGAGGCTCTTTCGATGCAATACAAGACGGATCCGGAAACCGGTCGCGTCATCTACCGCTGTCACAACAACTTTGGACCTCTTGACCCGAGTGGACTGGGGAATATATACCCTCAAATAACCGATTTTGGCGCCGCTACTCTGCTCGGCACCGATGGAGATGATGGCGCCGTTCAACTGGGTACCCGTCCTATACAACCTGACTATTATCGCGCGCCCGAGGTCATTCTGGGATGTGGGTGGAGCTATAGTGCTGATATATGGAATTTGGGTGTTATGGTAAGACATACATGCATTTAAAAAGTACGTGGTGAGCATAAAGTACTCACATTCACCAACAACAGATATGGAATATACTCGAAGGCACAGAGTTGTTCACCCAGGTACAGGATGCGGAGGGAACTTACCTCCCAGAAGCACATCTAGCGCAGATGATAGCCCTGCTTGGGCCCCCGCCTAAGAAATTGCTTGTGATGTCGGAGTCCATGGCACAGGTTGAGTGGTCACCAGCTATCACTGATGGAAGGGGTAAGATATTCAAGAGCAACAGAGAATACTTTGATGGGCCTTTCTTTGATGAAGAAGGTATTGATGCCCATTTATTCCCCAATTCACGACATATACGCGTGTATCTCTGACCATAATCCATATTACGGTAGGCAACTTCATCTACAACGATTTGATACCCGCGCGAAAACTTGAAGATGCAGTCCCATCCCTAGAAGCGAGCGACAAGGAAGCTTTCCTATCTTTCATCAAACTGATGCTCACTTGGTTGCCTGAGGAACGAAAGACGGCTCGGGAGTTGATGGAGCACCCTTTCCTTAATGATTGAGGGATGATATGTGATCTATATCAGTATTACTGTCCAGACAGGATGTCTATTGCTCATTAGGGTCTAACTCTAAGAGCTTCTCCATATACTCGCCTCGACTTGTTGGCATTGGAAACGTGCTCACGGTAAAGCAAGCAGGCATCCATCAATTATCGAACGATCAGAGTAAGATATCCCTGAGGGTATCTATAACAAACAATTCACTTTTTGATATTTACAATCTCAATCTGGAGAATCAACCGGATGCGACTAAGATGCTCGGCATGATTATTGCGTGGAGTTGTGAGGCTCGCTACGCGTTATATGCGTGTCTTGGCAATACTTGTGGCCATTTAATGTTGGCATTTTCAAGTGCATGAACATGTATTCATCCTTTCTAGAAAGGCCGATGCGCATGATCTGCTTTTGATCTTGATCGCGAGACATATTACTAGGCCGTACTGTTTATTTCTTGGTGGTACGGTAGAATTTTATTGGTATGATGGGTTGAATAGATAATATAAAGTGGCGATGCGGAGTACTAGTACGTAGTGATGTGCTAAATATATGAGCCAATCAGATTAACCAGTCAAACATCTAAATAGGATACTAACAGCGAGGCATTATCCAAGTAGGTCCTACGTAATTAGTTCCCCCAAGTAACATGAACATGAAGTATTGCTGGTCTTGAGATGCTATTGTTTGACTTGATGTACTAATTTACATGTGATCTGAATAGAATTCTACTGTATTGATATCATCATGTAAATAAACATCATAATAACGTTGTCAGCCGCAAGGCTGTAGGTTTGCGAGGCTGGACTTTATCTTTACTTGTGTAGGACTCGAACTAACCGTATATCCTGGTGAATATTCTCATATCTGCGAATGATTACTGCTACTGCTGCTAAGATGACTTACATATTCCAAAATCCTCATATGCTTCGCAACTCCCGGCTACAACTACTGCACAGCACGCATAGTAATCCGTACACTATGTACCTAAAACAATATAGACTAGTAGCGAATCCGACCCTGAAGCAAAAGAAAAAGGAAAGTAAACTACAGTTTCATCATGGCTGTCATCATAATCATAAGATAATAAGTAAGAAATTATAACCCTCCTCATCCCCAAATCCATCCATCCAACCTATCTACCATACCCAGCAAGTAGATAAACCTCACTCACATCTCAAAACCCCCTCAGATCTGGTCTGCAAAACAGTCAGCATCAACATCACCCCAAACCTAAGAATATCAGGGAACATACTCAACGTCATACTCAAACTAACATCCGTATTCTCAACCATATCCGTAAACTCCTCGAAGCTAATCTTGCCATCACCATCCTTATCAGCCTCCATGATGGTCTTATCAACAATCTGCTGCAGCTGCACATCCTTAAGATTGTTTCCGACCATCATCTTCAGCACGATGAACAATTCGCCATTGGAGATGTACCCGTCGCGATCGATGTCGTATACTTTGAATGCGAAGCGCAGCTTCTCTTCTTTATTGCCCTTGGAGCTGAAGGCTGATAACCCGGACACGAACTCTTGGAAGTCGACGTCGCCGCCGCCGTCTTCATCGAAGATGGCGATCATTCTATTTCATTTGATTATTATCATGTTTCCCATATTCCATATTCGGTGTAGTGTTTGTTGTTGGAAAGGTGGTATAGGGTGGATGGGAGGGGAGTACCTCGTGGCGAGCGGGTTAGAGGAGACTTGAGGAAGGGAGAGGAATTCATCGCGGTCGATGGTGCCGGAGCTGTCCTGTGTACATCGGCATTATGATTAGCTATAGAACAGGTAGGGTAAAATAAGGTATAACGTGGAGAAGGGGGTAGTAGTACCTTATCAAGCTTCATAAAGCGCTTGCGGAGACGGTCCACTTCATCGCGATCGACTGCCAGATTCCGATGATGTAGTCAGCAAGGCCGGACACCCCGATTGATAATTATTTTATAGACGCGACCGCTACCCACAGTTGGAGGCGGACACAATGTTTTCGAAGAGCTGAGAAGTTCCGACGGAGCCTCTGCGTCTCCGGGCATCGTAAAGGGCCGCGTTGTTGGGTTCGCTGGAATGATCCATGATGGGGACCGGAATGTGGCGATCACAGGGAAGGAGAGAAGCAGAAGCGGCAACGGCAAGAACCAGAGACTAGGTGGAGAAAATAATAGTTGAGAAAGAGAGAGGAAAGGGAAGCAGTTCCCACACCAATTCAATACACAGTGAAACTCTGGGGGGGGGGATGAATAATCACGAGGGAACAACAATAGATAGATAGATTGATATCAATCACTGCAAGCAACGAGGTTCCCCCAGCCGGCAATTTGATATCGGGCAGCCCCGCACTAACCGGAAACGGACAGGCAAGCGAACCCCTGAGGCCGTGCGCCGGGCCAAAACAGGCCACCGCCGGGTGACATTGCAACGTCAACTCATCCGCCAGTGCCAATACTACGAGATTTCCCGCGTCGATATCATCCCATCACCATCGACATTCATCACGAAACTACGTCTACGCGCTTTCGCATGATCGGCCCTATCGCCTGATACCAATTTTAGCCCCCCTCGCCCATGGTCGTTGCCCTTTTCCGCGCCCCAAAGTTCGTATGACTAGGTACGGGGGAATGGGGAGGACGCGCCCGAAAAAGCTCACCTCCAAGGCCTCCATCCCCATAGTCCGGGAGCACGACATAGATCTTATCGACGATGAAATCCAAAATGCCCTACAACAGATCGAGACCGGCGTGGAAAAGGCTGAGGAATCGGTAAGTGATGCCTCATCCCCGACCGTTGCGAGCATCCCTGTGCATATCACGTGACATCATCCCGACCTCACCCCATCGTGAAAATTTCGCACCTCGGCAGAAACACCGCAACAGCGCCTGCTAACGCCTGTTCTTGTATAGGAATTCCATCTCCAGGTCGCCATAAATGCCGCTGCGCAGGGGAAAGTAAAAGATGCCCATATTCCGACGCCGGAGACGGTCCTCAGTAACCTGCGCTATGATGAGCTCTACCCGCCTATCTTCTCGCAACCTGCGACCTACATTCGCTTCTCTGCTACGGTAGAGGACTGTTGCGGAGCCCCGTATTGCATGGACGAGGAAGATGATGTCTTCCTCAAGATCTTCAACCAAAAACGCGATGCGGGTAGTCGGTGCACCGAAGACCAGTTCGAAGAGGTTATGAGCTTCTTCGAGCTCACGTCGCGAAAGGAGCAGCCATATGCCTTTGTAGATAACTCGCCCCTCATGAGCTTCGAAGAATTCCAACAAGCGATGGACCCAGCTGTAGAGGAGAGTGTAAAGCGGTTCGCCAAGGACATCTATGAATACTGGAAGTCCAGGAGGACCAGCAACGGCAACGAGCCCCTACTACCTACACCGAAGGTGAGTCCCCTCGCTAACGGCAGTTATGAGGTTTGGCAACACCAGAGTGCTAACCGATTACCGCAGGTTGAGGCTGGTCGAGACACCGATGATACGGACCCGTATGTCTGCTTCCGTAGGCGTGAAGTGCGGCAGACGCGCAAGACCCGTGGTAGGGATGCGCAGAGTGCCGACAAGCTAAGGAGACTCAGGAAGGAGCTGGAAGATGCTCGACAGATGGTCGCTTTGGTGCGCCAACGCGAGCTAGCGAGGAAGGAGATGCTGGCCATCGAACGCCAAGTGTTCTTGCAGAGATCGGAGGTCAAGGAGATGAAGAGGAAGCTCAACATCAAGGACGATGATGAGGACCTCATCAACCAGAAGGTGAGCCCTATGCAGTCCCGCGACCGTCTGCTGCACATGCTGATGACTCTGCAAAAGCCGAAGAAGAAGCCTGTAGAAGCACCAGCTGTGCAACGCCCGGCTGCGCCTCAACTGCGCATGCCCCCCAAGGCTGGTACACAAGCTGCAGAAGACCTACAGCTGTTGGAGGATGTTCAGGCAGAGAAGGAGAACGAGATTCAGCGCGACATCAAGCAGAATATCGCCAAGCACGTCAAGTGGAACGAGGGCTATGTGGATTTCACAAGAGCACCACTCTCCCCGTCGCCAGAGCGAACTTTCGATGCTGCTTCTTTCCGCCCTGCAATCACCACTCAACTGCCCACGCCGCCATCATCGGAATCATCCGACAATATGCTGGATTCGCCCTTAGATACCACGAGTGCCATTGCTCTCCGAGATAAATTAGCTCCACATGCCATGGAATTGAGTGTGGACACCAGCAAGATGCCCTCGTTCAGACGACGTATCGGGCGCGGCGGTCGTTTGTGGATCGATCGTCGAAATCTGGTGTCCCGTTGTAGAGTCGAAATGGACCCGTGGAAGGCCGATCGGTTCAAGTATGATCAGGAGGACTCGGACGAGGATCTCGAATTTGAAGGAGACAAGTACGATATCCAGATCATGCAGCATCGGGCCATCATGGCAGCCAAAGCCCGAGACCAAGCAGCGGCGGCAGCTCAAGCCCATGCGCAGGCGCAGGCTCAACAAGCACAGGCTCAAGCTCAGGCTCAACGGCGATTGCAGGCCGAACAGACATCGGCGACCAATCCACCAAGCGGAGGGCAAACCATGGGATCCAATCCCGGGCCTGGCGCCATTGCCTCCACTTCAGAGACCTAAGCTGGCCTTTGTTCTTCTCCCCTCTCTCTTCCCTTCTGATTATGTTTTTAATCTTTCACCCCATGTTTCGCATCTGGCCGGCGTTGTTCTTTCGACACATTCTCTTACCCTCACCTGTACTTTTACCCCCTGGACGTCCTGATTCTTTACACCATACCCCGAATATCTTTTCTTTCCGGAGCGCTGCAAAGCGTTCGACCCTCAGGATGATGTTGCCGGATGATGCTTTGTTTATGACATGACCCTGGTATTATGCGAAAGTTAGTGTACATAGCCAGTTTTGTCCTCTTTTTTCTGTTCTTTCAGCCGAGCAGTCGATAGACTCGTGTACGGATAGTGAGGCTATGAGGTCAGCGACGAAGAAGATAACAAAAATCAATATTAATTAGATGAAAAAGGAGAAAAAATCAAACTTTTGGTCTTATCCATCATAATAAAACAGTTTTTCGGGTTCGAGATTTAAGCGTCAAGTCCTCAGAGCTTTGTTCCTCTGCGGCTCGTCGCTGTCGCCATTTGCTGCACGCTTGAGAGGATTGCTCTGGAGTGCGGCCCCGAACTGCTTGTCGAGCATGAAGGACAGGTTGTACAAGATCTCCTTTTCGCCGAGGCGGACCTGGATCGCCATCTTCTTGCGACGAACAGATCCTTCCACCGGGCCGGATGCTTCAAGCTGCGACAACTGGGCGAGGAGTTCCTGATCCTGGGGGATGGTAGTCGCATACTGAGCCTGGTTCAACTGCAGAGCCTTGGCAAAGATGGCGGCTTCCGCATCACCGAAGGATGGCTTGGGGGGCTTGTTCTTCGAGCGCTGCTTCTCCAACTGGTCGGACGGGAGCGACAGGGTCTTCAACAATAGCAAGAGCTCATCCGGAAGAACATCAGCCAACGGATCCTCAGGGGAAGAGGGCCTTGGGATGGTATAGCCGTCGTCAAGAAGTTCCAAGTCTTCGAGGAATTGAAGCTAACGTTAGGTCAGCATATGGTTTCCGGTGCCAGGTGGGTCTTATGTCAGTTGTTTACCGGAGGTTGGGTCTCAATATCGGCACTTCCAAGGCCAGCAGCCTGGCATATTTGGTCCAATGAGAGCTCGACAACGTCGTATTGGGCATAGTTGTCAGTCACGTAACCGTACCGTCTCAGAAGGTCAGAACGGGGGATCTCCCCATAGTCGTTGAAGATCTCCTCGCCCGATTTGATAGGCTTGATAGCCTTCATAACCAAGACTTCTTCTTCTTGGAAAAGACGAGCCTGAAAGGAAACCCTTAGTCAGCGATCATGTAGCAAGAATCGAAGATCAAACAGAACTCACATTGTTGCGATCGGCATCCGCATTGAGCAGATCGGCCAGAGGAACCATGCCCTTGGACGATTGCTCTTCTTCTTCTTCATCGGTCAAGTAGCCGTCTTCACCATCACGGTCACCCTCTTCATCTTCCGGTTTCTCGATGTCAAAAGCGTAGGCCATGATAAGCGATCCCATAGTATGTGCGAGGTGAAGGAGGGCCTGGGTCCCAGCGTCTCCATCGTAAGAGGCAACTCCGTCGATGGGAGGGAATAGGGCAGGATTTGCTCGCACGATAGGAGCAATGGACTCAAGAATGGATTCCTCGGCTCCCTGCTTCCCGATCTTCTCGACAATAGCGCTGCCCTGAAGCTCCTCAAGCTCGGAGGCGGACCAGAACATGAGGGTGTCAAAATTGCGAGGAAGAACCCGGAAGTATGAAGCCCACGCAGACTGATCGCCTTGAAGAAACTCATAGATCATGACAACCATGAGAGACAACCAAGGGCCAAGATCGTCGAGGTTCTGGGAGAGCAGGTTCTTCAAATTGGAATTCTGAACCGAGAGAACATGTGCGCGGGGGATGGTAAAAAGCTCTTCACCTTCGTCGAGATCGGACTGAGCCACTGGTAGAGTGACACGAGGACATCAGAGAGGGAGTCACTTCCAAGAAAAAACGGGTTTCATGAGACAAACACGAGCGGGATAAAACCTCGTCTGGGATGGGAACCTACCGACACCTCGGCCAGCAGCGTGGGAGCGCAGATCTGCAATTTGGATCTTGGGGTTGATTTTGACGCCGGGCTTGCCAGCCAGCCAAGTGAGAAACTCATTTGACTGGTGCTGGAAGTTTCCCGGGTCGGGAAAATGGGTGGTGGAAGACATTTGGGAGGTTGATGGAGGAGAGATTGTGTGAATAGTGTCGACCTAAGAAAAAGGAAATTCGGCACCCCACACCCACTACTGTGTTAAGGACGGCTCAGGAGTGAAAGGAGCGGGAAGGATAGCAGTTTGACAGCCAAACAAAGAGAAGAAGATGCAGCTGCTGGGACAGCTAGCCAGGTGGTGAAAGAAAAGGGGAGGGTGTGGGAGGGTGAGAGATTGACGGGGGGGAAGTTGAGGGGATCAGGCGGTGCTCCTCCGGTAGTAAGTAAAGTAACTAATTAGTAGTAATTAGTTGGCAGGCAAACGGGCGTATGGAAAGTATGGTACAGTAACTGGTGTTCCAGCAAAATGACAGTCGGATAAACGCTGCGGCGGACCAAATCGGGCCAATCGATAACACGCCTGATAACCTTCCGAACCAGCACCGAATTTGCCCCTCCGCGACTGGCTCATGTCCGCGGTCTCGAAATTTTGACCAGCCTGTAACCACCCCTTCTGAGATATTGGGACCTTCTTTTTCCGTCATTGAGCCAGATAACCCCCCAGATACCCCCTGCACATCATGATCTCCATCGGTCTGGAGAGCTCCGCCAACAAATTGGGCGTGGGCATCATGGTGCATCCCGACGATGGCAAGCCCCCGCAGGTGCTGGCCAATGTTCGGCACACCTATGTCACCCCTCCCGGTGAAGGATTTCTCCCCAAGGACACCGCCCGTCATCACCGCGCCTGGGTTGTGAAGCTGGTCAAGAAGGCTCTTCGCGAAGCTCAGATCTCCCCCAAGGATGTGGATTGCATTTGCTTCACTAAGGGCCCCGGCATGGGTGCCCCTCTTCAGAGCGCCGCCATTGCGGCCCGCATGTTGAGTCTACTATGGGGCAAGGAATTGGTGGGCGTGAATCACTGTGTTGGACGTATGTGTTATGCCTAGTACTTCACTGCTCTATTTATCTATCAGTCCCCGATCCTATCTGCACCGTGCGGGGAAACCCTTTGGCCCGTGTCATCCCTTGCTTAGCTTGACCTCCCTATTGCAACCATCGCTAACCATGCCTCGGCTGTATATATAGATATCGAAATGGGTCGATTGATTACCGGTGCACAAAATCCCGTCGTCCTCTATGTCTCCGGAGGAAACACCCAAGTCATCGCATACAGCTCCCAACGGTACCGCATCTTTGGCGAAACCTTGGATATTGCAGTAGGAAACTGCTTAGACCGCTTTGCGCGCACGCTGCGCATTTCCAACGACCCCGCCCCCGGATATAACATTGAACAATTAGCCAAGAAGGGTAGGAAACTGGTCGATCTACCGTACACGGTCAAGGGAATGGACATTTCCATGTCTGGTATCTTGGCGGCCATTGATGGACTGGCCGTGCAGTATGGCTTGGATGGAGATTGGAATGACGAGGAGGATGTCGCTAATAATGCATCTACATCGGACGATCTGGAGAACGCGAAGCCGACGCGCGCAGATCTATGCTTCTCGCTCCAGGAAACGGTTTACTCCATGTTGGTTGAGATCACAGAGCGCGCCATGGCACATGTCGGTTCCAAGGATGTCCTGATCGTTGGTGGAGTGGGCTGTAATGAGCGCCTGCAGGAAATGATGGGCATAATGGCTCGCGACCGCGGTGGTACCATTCATGCGACCGACGAGAGGTTCTGTATTGATAACGGCATCATGATCGCGCAGGCCGGATTACTGGCATATAAGTCCGGTAGCACAACACCCTTGAAGGATTCCACTTGTACTCAGCGCTTCCGGACAGACGATGTCTTTGTCAAATGGAGGGATTGATTTCTATTCTTGTTCCATTGGATGATGATGATTTAGATGAATGAGATGAATATAATCTATAGAGTCATGAGCAAAGGTTTCCGATAGTACGGGATTCGGCAACCGGAGTGCATCCGTGCATCCAGACGAACTGGAGCACGGGCTAGTATTGATTGGAGCCCGCTTGATCGCATTCTTTCTACCGAGTAACGATTGGCGCAGTTTGACTCAGTTGCCACGGACACAGATGACAGGTTGGGATTAAGAATATCAAGTCGGTTATGACTAGTTGTCCCTCCGACGGGTGGAAGCAAGCGTCAAGGGCGTACATCACACACTCCTGGCTGACCGAAAGCAGCAACGCCTATGTATAACAGCCGCGCATTTCAGCTGCAAGCAAGGTTGACAACAGGGGCTTAGCTATCGAAGATTTGTCGCTAGCCATGCATCGTTCCGAACAACAACAACAACAATGGTCTAATAGTGGCGCTTTCTGCACCGCAAATAGTCGGGCATCGAGCAACCATAAGGACGTGAATCATACAAAGTGGCTTGAGCTTGGGTTCCGGCTATGTGCAACTCTGCAATGTCGAAAGATATACCCAAAGGAGATATCTGTTGTTATTTCTCCTGCTTCTGCGAGGGCCTTCAGTGTCTTATCCTCCGTTTCGATGCCTTATCCTCCAGTTCGATGCGCAGATAGCATACGGTCGACATGCGGGATGCTCAGCCCCGCTCTGGCAGCCAAAGTAATACAATCCCCTTCTGGCTAGAGAAAAGGCACGAGGGACGTGCAGGGCACCTTATCCCATTGACAGGCTAACCTGTAATATCGTCTGTCGGCTTGTACAATATCGTTGTGACGTACTGCATACCGTTAATTCCCGTGGCTTCGTGACAAAGAGGTGCCATCTTACCTTCCGTTTGTATCTGGTCGTTACACTGGTGGCAAGCACACCATTTTTTATACTGCTAGTGGCGAGATGGTTTAGGACGGTGTGGTTAGGGTAGTTAAGAACACTGCTATCGTCCTTCATGGGTGTGGTGCCGTTCAAGATTGATTTGCCAAGGAACAGCGGAAGGCTCGGCGGTGTAGGCGCATCCCCAACGATATTCACAGCTTGCTGGTACTCGGGTGTTTCTTCCTCACGATCTAGATCAAGCAGAAATTGTGGGATAACACCACGGAAGTCACCCAACGGGATTTCCTCGGGCTCTTCTCTGTCTGACTGTTCCTCCACTGTGGACCCCACTTGATCATTCCCGACCGGTCCAGGAATGACCTGTGGAGGTCGAACGCCATCAGGGACCTTATCGCTTTCTCTCCGTGACCGGTTGACGTCATCAGCACTGATTTCAATGTAGTTGACGAGGTGATTTGTGAAATCGACTGCTGTGGGAAGATTATCTGAAGCGCGCATTTCACCATCGACAATAAATTTCAAATGGTGCGTGCCTGGACGGAGGTTCAATCTCGTGGACAAGACGCCGGGGTTGTTCTCACTGTTTATGCAGGGTTCCAGTTAGTTCTGATAACGTAAAACAGCCCAGATAACGAGCAATGCGACTGGACATATGGGACAGCGGACGCGACAACATGACATACCTCCGATGTAAACGGAATTTCTTCTCCCAGTTCACAAACGTTCCCGTAACGTAGACCTTATCACCAGGAGCAGTCCATTCTATCAGGGTCGGCACAGCTCTTCCCACGCCGCTCGGAGTATAGGGTTGAAGTTCATCCAATGCCTCATCGTCATCGACCGTGGCGCCAGCTACGGCAGATTGTTTCGAATCGCGGTGTTCATCCAGCAGATGGTCGGGTGCAACCGATCCCATATACGAGTCCTCCGGACCAATGATGGGCGAACCGGGGGTGGCCGTGGCATCTCCAATGGGCAGGGGCATCCGCGGTGGGCGCTGAAGATGAACAGAGGCGCTGTAATAGGCATGGGGAGGAGGGCCAGAGGGTGCTACAGGGTCACGTTTTGCAGCTGCCCGGGATCCCGGAACTTGGACGGGGTTGGACGGATCAGGCGCAGGAATGTCTCTGGAGCGAGTATCTGGCTTCTTTGGAACCTGACGGTCTGGCCGATCTAGGTTCCGCGTCGGCAGATCTGTGACATTGCGGGATTGTAAACGCTGCTGGACGGAAGGCTGAACTTGGGAGGTCGGGAGGCCCGTTGCAGTTTCTCTGGTGGCGGAGGGGTCGGCTGCGGAGGCCTTGGTGGTGCCCGATGGTGTATGAATCGATGACCGGCGAGCTAATTTCTTGTCCCCCGCCGCGGCCGAGGGAGCCGACGGCGATTGGGCATCTCCGGCAGGGGGTTTGGAAGGATTGTTGCCCATCTGGAACAGGAAGCCGGTAGGTGGCGCTTGTAGGAAGGAAAGGAAACTGAGTTAGGCAGGTTCGATGCCGTGTGGAATACAAGAGAGACGAGTTGTGAGTTCCGTGATCAGGGTTGGGATGCCAGCATCAGATGGTGTCGGGGTTTGGATGGCGGAGGGGTAACGGAAAATAAAGAGGGAATCGGGGCGAAGGGAAAATATCGGGTGGACAAAGGCCTTCGGATGCAGATGGGATCTAGGAAATATGCTGACGGAAATAGGAAAGGCGCCGGCTCAAGGATGGGGTGGAAAGAGGTATATAAACAGAGCAGCGGGCGAGGATCGAAGAGAAAGAATGCGATGGGCAGCCAAGTAAGAGTTGATGATGTCGATGTCGTCGACCCCGGACGGGCTAGTCCTATGGAGAAGTTCCCCTTAGGGTTTAGGGCTTCCCTCCTTGGTTTTCCCCGACGGTCGGTCGGCTGTCATCTCCGATGGTGACTTGGTATGTCAACTGTAGTATACTGCATCATCTTCGAGGGAATATGCGAGATATATTCACCGTGTTTGCTAATAATTTTAGCACATTTGAAAGATTCAGGCAAGCCCATGGATGAAAGAGGAATGTTGATTACCCCATAAAATAAATACTAGGAGTACATACTTATAACGATAACAATCGATGAACCAAAACAAGTCATTCAACCATACCATTTCTGCCACCGCAGACCGCTTACCGGACAGGTAGCGCCATCATCCATCCAAGCATTATTTACTCTGTATAGTTCACTCTACTGCTGTATCCCTTCCCATTGCACAGCAAGGCCGTGTCATAAATTGCCTCAGCTGACGCACCTGGAATGCTCTATGTAACCAACCAGCTGCTTCTGGAACACTTTTAGCCACGCGAATGGATTGGGTTACCGCCTTGACAGCGAGCTCCGGTGCCGTGCTCTATGCTCTGGCTTACCTGGCTTCCTGGTCCTATGGGCTGTTCAGTGTACTAGCCTCGCCAATGTGGATCCTAGCCCATGCCATCCTCTATGTGCTCCTTTCTCCACTAAGGCTTCTAATCAAATTCGAGGTACGAATGGATAGATCCTCCATCCTTTCTAGCAAGTACTGGTCGCAACCCAAGGAATAAACACTTATGGTTTACCTAGGCCATTCTTAGCTACTTCACAGTAGCCGCATTGATAGGGGTTATCCTGGGAATATCAATTCATTATGCCTCGTCGGTTACTGTGGAGGCGGTTCATCAATGGTTTGGTTCACTGAAGTATGACCCAGCTCGCCCTAGGCGGAATAGTTTTCATGGACGTCTACTTGATAAAGTCAAAAGAGGGACTTCTCCGAGCGATTCCAACGCGTCCGACGAGAATATGCCGGAGTGATAGACCGACGCGAGGGATAGGCTCAACCCGATGAGAACCTGGCATCGTCTACACGATCCTCGAAGGGGAAGAAGCAGCAGCAACCGGGCCGAGGAATGACGGAACGCTTTAAACTAAATCATGAGCATAGTAGTGGGCATGTCAGCGGAAAGTGTAGTGATTACGTTTGTACTATATATTTTAGCATTAGCATATATTAGCTTATTTCACAGTAGACTATTACGCCTCTGAGCGGTTCGACCGAATGCATGACAGATACTAGCGGAGGCAGACGGATCCTCGCTGGCGGACGGGGCTGGTAATCTCCGGGATAATTGACGCAATCAATCCGCGACAGTCTGGATGGACCCTGCCGCTCATCCAATTCCCCACTGCAATTATACTTCCATGAGACTCAAAAGACAAAAAGACTCCCCCTCATCTTATCTTAATGTATTTATTAGAATGGCCCCCAATTTCCACTAATTTAGTTGTAGTAGTAGTAGTAGTATTACTACTATGGACAGTTGCTTGTTATTATTTATCCTAGACATTAATCATCTGTTCATTTAATTTGCTTTTCTTTCTTTTTTTTTTTTTTTTTTTTTTTTTTTCCCGCCTCTTCTCTCCGCAATACGAATTGCTGGAGGGAGAAATAAAGTATAAATATCAACTTAAGCATTACACCGCAGTCCATTCTAACCATGGTCCACTCAGTAACACCGATGTCATCACTCCTGATTGTTTGTTTCGACTTGACATGAATCATACCCCTGCGACTATACTATCACTCTATAACTCAGGACAAACTACCTTTTGAATGTGGATTGCTTTATCACCGAACATCGTGCTGTGGGTCTCTCGAACCATCAGTCAACAAGAACAACCCCTCGGTCTCGAACGGACCATCCTGCAATCTGTCCAGGGTTCGCTTCGCTTGTTCATCTCCGTCCTTTATTCCTCCCTCGCAAAATCCCCCGACACTCTTCTTTCCTATCCTTTGATTCTACTTTCAAAGGTACTCTGCAGCTCCTTCTTCTTCTTCGACACGCATGTCTTCTCCATTCATCAGCCTCGTTACATTTCCTCTCGAGCCTTGCTGACGCCTCCCCGGACGCCTCCAATGCCTTTCCCCCTGCGCTAACGGTGTCTTCTCCGATATAACGACTACGTCAGACTGTTCGTGCTATATTTTGCGATCCTAACGAGACCACGAAACCATTGACAGCCGTTGACATTCCTGTCGCAACATTCCAAACACAATGTTTCCCTCTCGAGCGTTCTTACGAGTGCGCTCGCTATTACTTGCGATATTCATCCTATTAACATTCGCTTGGTCCTATTCACGATGGCGCAGCTATCCTCTGACCGAGCAAGCCCCATCCATACAAACACACCAAGCGACTCCCTCGAATCGCAGACATACCGAAGGCCACATCCAATTCTGGCGTCAATTCCAGCCACTTCTGACCGCTCATGAGCCGAAATGCGAGCCACCTCTGAGATTAGGATCGGCGCCGTCAATTAGGTTCGAACAATCGAACCCAGAGGACCGCCCGGAGCTGCTGGACATGCTCCCATTCGACGTGGATACGATGAAAAACGCGCACAGCGGATTTGTCGATGCGATCAATACCAACCCGCCCCAACTAAACTATACACAGAACACGCGAGGCTTGGTTTCCACCGCGGGGGGCTCTTACCTACCTGTGCTGGTGATCTCACTTCGAATGCTTCGCAGAACGGGGTCGAAGTTACCCGTTGAAGTTTTCCTCGCAAATGAAGAAGAATATGAGGATCATATCTGCGAAGTGGTCCTGCCATCGCTGAACGCGCGATGTGTGCTTCTGTCGGAAATTCTCGACGCCGTCCCAGGCGATATGAAGGTCGAGAAATACCAGTTCAAGCTTCTCGCAATGCTGTTCTCGTCATTCGAAGAAATCCTCTTCTTAGACGCTGATGCGTTCCCGATTCACCCACCGGAAATGCTATTCGTCAATGGCCCCTTTCCCTCGAAGAACATGGTCACTTGGCCCGATTTCTGGGCATCCACCGTCTCGTCCTACTACTATGAAATTGCCTCTCAGCCGTACCCCGAGAACTCAGTCCGACAGTCCAGCGAATCCGGAGAGGTCCTCATCTCGAAGAAGACGCACATGAAGACCCTTCTCCTCAGCACCTACTACAACATGTGGGGTCCCGATTTCTATTACCCATTGCTTTCGCAAGGCGCCGCCGGAGAAGGCGATAAAGAAACCTTCGTCGCAGCCGCCATGACCCTCCAGGAACCATACTACCAGGTCTCGGAGCCAATTTGCGCCATCGGCCACGGCACACAGGGCGGTCTGGCCGGCTCCGCGATGGTGCAGTTCGACCCCATTGAAGACTACGCTCTGACGCAGAAGGGCGAGTGGCGAGTCCATGGATCGAAGGCGCCTGCCCCCCGAGCATTCTTCATCCACGCCAACTTCCCCAAGTTCAACCCGGCTACTGTGTTCGACAAGCAGGCCGTGAACCCGGCTTTCGCGGATGACGGGAGCTACACGCGCGCATGGACAATACCCGACGAGGTGATCAAGGCCTTTGGCACTGATATCGAGAAGCGCTTCTGGGATGAGATTCTCTGGACGGCGTGCGAACTTGAGGATAAATTCAGTACTTGGAAGGATAAAAAGGGCATCTGCAAGGGGGTGAAGAACTATTGGAATGCTATGTTCGGTATTGGGCATTCCCGTTGAGTTAGGGTCGGTCGGTTTCCCGATTTCAGCCTTATTGGTGCTGGTCGCTCCGTGAGATGTGTGGGGTGTATCTATCATCACCTACCGATGTGCACGATCCCCACGAGACGATATCTTCGTGGGTATCGAGTTGGTGTCTATCAGAATGGAGCAACAGCACAACGAGACACGCAGCGACGAAGACGATATTACTAATCTTACAGCAATAGGAGCGACACATCTACGCCCATGTCTCATCAAGGAGACACGAACCCCAAGATACGCTGGACAGCCTTGGATACCTTCTATAGATACAGCGACTGGCAATTCCAGGATCTCATCCTGGATAACATACACATATTCACAAATACCTCCTCACGCCATGCCATGCCATACCACCAGCTTTGCTACTTATTCCATGTACCATATACCAATACCCATACACTACTATGAATACAACCCATTGATGTAAATCTCTATACATACAATCTAAGCTAATGATACAAACCCAGAGAAGAGAATGATACACCCCACCCCTCCACACAGTCCCCTAAAAATACACTCACTCCCTCTCAATCGTCCCCGCAACCCGCGCCTTCCTAACCGCCTCCCTAAACATCTCCTTACACGGCACTCTAGATCCCAACCTCGCGCACAACAAAAACGCCCCACTCAACTTCCGATGTAGACTATACGTTTCCTCAGGAGGCGGAGTCAACCTCTCCCGAATCATAAGGGGAATCAACCCCTTCACGCGATCTGTAATAGTCTGGTTCCTAAAATCATACACTTCCGGCGACGACTCCATGAACGGCTCCGCGATAGTAATAACAGAAGTAACGTGCGCATCGACCATCTCCTGACTCTCATGGCCGGTAAGATACCCTAATTCGCGGGACAACTCCGCACAGCGTTGACGATCGTTCCTCGCTGCCGCGATCAGCGTATGCACATACTTGGTGATGAATTCATCGGGGTATTCGCGGGAGGCGCCGAAATCGAGTAATTCGAGCTTGTTCGTCTGGGCGTTGTAGAGGAAGTTCGTCCAGTTGGGGTCCGTCTGCATGTATTTGAATTCGGTGATTTCGCGAAGACAGAGACGGAGGATCTGGGTGCCGATCCAGTCGCGTTGGGATTGGGTGAAGTTTTGGATTTTGGTGACGGCGATACCATTGAGGCGTTCCATTGTGAGGACTTGTTTGCCGGAGGCTTCGGGGATGATGGCGGGGATGTGGAAGACGGGGTCGTCGGCCAGGAGGGAGCGGAAGTGCTCGCCGCAGGTAGCTTCGCGGTGGTAGTCGCATTCCCAGGCAAGTTCGGTGCGGGCGTTGGCGATGGTTTTGTCGAGGTAGAGGCCGCGTGGGAGGAGGCGGGAGGCGGTTAGGAGGATGGAGAGGTTGTTGAGGTCGGAGTCGATCGAGTCGGCGACGCCTGGGTATTGGATTTTGACGGCGACGGGTTGGCCCGTGGAGGCGAGGACGGCGCCGTGCACTTGGCCGATGGAGGCGGCTGCCATGGGGATTTCGTCGAAGGAGGAGAAGAGGTCGCGCCAGTTGGGGCCGAGGTTGTCGGTAAGGACTTTGTCGCGTTGTGAGGCGGGCATGTAGTCTGCGCGGTCTTGGACTCGTTGGAGGACCTCGTGGATGGATTCGGGGAGCATTTTGGTGTCTGGATGGTGTTAGAGGGGCTCGGGGTGATTGGAGCTAGGTGAGTGGGTGTGTACCTTGGATGCTCAGCATCTGCCCCAGCTTGAGGGCCGCTCCGCGCATCTTGGAGAGTTTGGCGACGAGACGTTCCATGTTTCCGGCGCTGAACATGAGGGATCCGGTGCTTTCGGACTGGCTTCCAGTGGCGCGTCGTAGGCTTTCGCTGACGGCGCCAAAGGCCATGGATGTGGCCAGGCCACCGTATTGCCATAGCCTACCTAGTCGGGATGCTGGAACGCGAGACTCGATCATCTGGTACGTTGCCTGCTGCTTCATGGCTGCGGCAGTCTCAGGTTCCACCTGCGGGCACTTCCTTAGATATAAGCGTCTAATTGGCTGCGACAGCTTGCACTCACTGTTGTTGTTGACACAATGTCTTCCACGGCCTGGGCCTCTTCTTTCGACAGTCCCTCCTTCCCTATGGGTTTGGCGTCAGGTGGAGGCATCGGTGTCTTTCCTTTGTATTTTAGATCCGCAGCAGCTTGCCGAGACAGCATCCTAGCGACCTTGGGGCTGTGGAATATTTCCTTCATCATATCCTCCGAAATCTCCTCCTGTTGTTCCACAGGTTGGTTTGACGACGCGGGTTTCTCGGCACCGACGGGGGAGTGGAATACGTCCGCATTTATTTCAGTGTTGATGCCTGTTTGCGTGTCGCTGGAGGTCCTGGGTAGTTTAACCCTAGGAAGTCCAGACGTGCCGTGGGTCGTCTGTTTGGAGGGTTCATAGAAGACATCTTGCTGCTGGCTGACATCCAATTGACTAGCTTCGTAACCGGTATGTTCCGCCGTCGTTGAAGGTATCTGCGATTCTGCTTGTCGTTGTGCTTTCCTGGCCTCATCCGGCGAGAGATTCGTGTGCGTGGGGGACGAGCTCGGGGCATGGGGTGACGGTGCGGGTGCTGGTTGGGAGGGAGAAGGATCATCATTGAATCTCTTTGCTAAGGCTGCCGCAGCTTGTGCGGTCATACAGAGGCCATCCACCTGGCTCTTGATGCCCTTGGTGAGGGATGATGTCCTGGTAAATAAGTCTAGCTGGCGCTGCCGCACCTCGAGGTGCTTCACGGCCACGGACCTGGCGACATTGCAAAGTTGGATCGCGTCCAACAGACGCTTGCCCGACATGATTGGTAAAGTAGCAGAGAAACCCGGGCTGGTCTCCAAACTACCGTCTTCGCATAATGATGGAAACTGAAGCAATTGGGGGAGCGCGAGAGCAAACCGGATAGCATCTCGTGCCTCGAAAAGCCGCGGTGATTTTCTGCCGGGCGGTACCGCGCCCCGGAGAGGTCCGGAGGCAACTGATAAGGAAGACAGCCGACCGGATAAAACTAAGAATAGTATTTAAAGGCGAATGTTCCTCCCGCGGGTCTCCCTTTCTTCATCACCGCCATGTACCGGCCGCCTTAACTTGTTTGGTGAGGGCAAATGACAGTGAAGACCAACGTGCAGGATATCGAGCAAGAGATCGTGGATCTCGAGGACCGTCTGCGCAATGCACGTGCTCGTCTAGCGTCGGCCTCTGCGTCGCACAAGGGCGGGGGTTCATATCTACCGGTACCGGAGGGTGTGTTTGCCCCCGCGGATGTCTTCCCCGTACACTTCTTCTCTTGCAACTGCAACTTCCACCACCTATCTACAAGATACTAACCGTCCATTCCTACGCTCTAGATGCTACGGGAATAGTGCCCAGCCATGCACTGCTTCTCCTCTCGGATTCAGCCCTTCCGTTGGGCTCGTTCGCCTACTCCAGCGGTCTCGAGTCCTATCTGGCGCACAACAAGCCCCTTCCTCGCTCGGTGACCCCAATTGCATCCTTCCAACGCTTCCTGAAGCTCTCGATCGCTTCTATGGCAAGTACCTCACTTCCATACGTTCTGGCAGGATACAGACGCCCAGAAGACTTGGAGACCCTGGACAATGACCTTGATGCGTCTACCCCCTGCATAGTTGCGCAGCGGGCGAGTCTCGCCCAAGGGCGGGCATTGCTCGGGGTCTGGGAACGCGCTTTCCGGAAAACGTATGCGTTCAACCCATTCCACACTAACCCCAGCGCTGCTGAGGCAGTGAAGGTGGTAGAGGAATTCTCCGACATACTGAAGACCTCGCTGGGTACTGACGAACTAGGCCCCAAAGGTCACTTTGCGCCTTTGTGGGGGGTGGTATGTCTGGCCATGGGCATGGACGCCCACCAGACTGCTTATGTCTTCATGTTGAACCATGCCAAGGCAGTCCTTAGCGCTGCTGTCCGTGCGTCCGTCATGGGCCCTTATCAGGCCCAGAACATCCTGGCCAGCAAAGGCCTGCAAAGCATGATCACTCAACGTATAGAGCGGGAGTGGGATACTCCCGTCGAAGATGCAGGACAAATCGTCCCACCTCTTGATCTCTGGGTGGGACGACATGAACTTCTATATAGCAGAATCTTCAACTCATAACGCATAGATCACCATGATAGCTCTCTCGATTCCTTTCTTTTGGGTCAAAGGTGACATTCCTGTATAAATATAGCTGCATTCATCATCTTTCTCTTTGCCGTGACTTCCTAGTTAATCCTACAACATGCACCGTATTGTCCCACCCAGGTGCCGCTCGAACACTGACGTGGGTATCCAAAAACAACTCCTCTGGACCGGAGGGTAATGAAAAGAGAAGGGGAAATAAAAGAAAATAAAAGAAAAGGAATAAAAGGCAGCAAAGAGAAACGAAGAGAAAGAGAAAATTAAAAGGAAACAAAAAAGAAAAAAAAAAAAAAGAAAAAAAAAACCGGTAACCCGAAGACCAAACAACCCGGCCACTATGCAAAGAAAATATCCGATCAATAGGAACAGATTTAGATCGAACGCCGGCCCTCTGATATCCTGTCCTGCTAAACCACAGTAAAACACCGCACCATGAGCCTTTTTCCATGATTATGGAGCGCAATGGGTAAAAGAAAAATCAAGCCGTAATAAAGTGACGTAGGTGAGTGAAAGGGGGAAGGCGAGAAAGGCAAGAAGGGAAGGAAGAGACTATGATACACGAAGTTGAGGGTAGGAACCCAGGATGCTGGGTTCTGAGCAAATCATAGTGTGATATGCATGTAATCGTTGTTACCGAAGGACTTGTTGCAGTTGGGACACTTTCGAGACCGAGATGTGAGGCGCTCTTCCACGCATTCTTTACAGAACACGTGACCACAGGTCTTGATGGCCGTGTTCTTGAAGTTGCGGCGACACACAGTGCAGAGTGCCAGAGTCTGTAGGGCACGTTAGCGAGGATGATCCAATATGGCAAAAAAAAAGTAATAGAGATGGGATATAACCATACCCTCAGCATTTCATATTCGGACGAGGAGTTCCCGAGGCTCTTGTTCTTCCAGTTCTCCAGGCTCTTCTTGGTATCCGCCAGGGTCACCTTCAGACCTTCCACCTCCGTTTCCGCTTGGCGACAAGCACTCGAGGCGCTAGCCAATGTCGAGTCCTTGGAAGCTGACAACGCCTTGAGTTCGGCCACCTGCCGGTTCAAGCCCTCAATTGTGATGTTTTTCTCTGTGACTTGCTGCTGGGCTGCGTAATTCTTGTTCATCATCGAATTGAGTGCTTCCTTAGTCTCGCTAACCTGCTTTTCCATGTTGGCCAGCAGAGAACGGGTGGCTGCCTCGGATTCCTTCAGCTGCGACACAATGTCCGAAGTTTTCGCATTTTGCATGCGCAGGGTGCGGACCTCCACATCCCTGGCCTCTTTGCTCTTCATTGCAGCGAAATATTTTTGATCGGCCTTGGACTTCTCCGCGATGAGCCGGGCAACCTTCTCCTCCAAGGCACTGAAATCGGTGACTTTCTGTGATGCCAATGACGAGTACTTCTTGCAGGCGACTTGCATCGAGGATAGTTCGGTATTGAGCATCGAAAACTGACGTTCCAGGTTGCTGAACTTAGCACGCAATTCTTCGATCGGGATCTCATCAACGCTTTCTGACGTGCTCTTCTCCTTATCTAATTCCATACGCAACCTTTGTACCTCGGACTCTAGCGCCGTAATCCGAGCCTGTCCAGCATCTGCAAGTTCTTGCACCTTTGTGGCCGCAGTTTTCTCCTGCTCTTGCGCAGCCTTCCGCATTTGCTGGTCCGCCAAAAGTTCGTCGCGCGCGTTGCGTATCCGTGCCAGATCTGTTTCTGCCCGCATTAATTGCATCTCCTTCTCAGCGATCGCATTTTGTGCCTCTTCATCAACCTGATTGCGGTAGGCGGTTCGCTCCGATCGGAATTTTGCCGCTTCTTCTCGCAGTTGCACGTTGGTCGCTTCTAAGTGGTTGATCCGAGTAACAACGTCATCGTACTGGGATTTCAATTGCTTGAACAAGTCCGTGTGCGCGTAGTCATCGTCAGTAAGTCGTGAATGCTGCCGTCTCACGTTAGCACTGTTCGAGTCTAGCTGGTCCAACCGGGTGGGCGTACCTTGATGTTGAGATCCGTTATTTGAGTCAGTAATTTGGCATTTTCACTCTCCAATTTTTGAAGCTGTTCTTTCTGCTTTTCAGACACGGCCACGAGTTTGCTGTGGGCTTCTTCCAGGGCAGGACTCCGCTCGCCGCTAGGGGTCGCGCCGTTGGACGCGGAAGGCTCTTCCTTGGGTGCAGACGCACTATCGCCGCCGGGGCGTTGGGCTCCTAGAATGTACTGCTTCTCTAATTTGGCAACCGTCAAGCTCCTTGCACGATCGAGCTTTTTCTCGGCTACCATGTACCGTAAAGAGGCTTCTTCGAGACTTTCTTCGAGTTGCTGTTTTTCAGATAGAGCTTTCTCTAATTCTGCGATGGTGGCTTTTTCCTCAGCAAGCTTCTTGGCGAGTTGAGTCTGTAACTCTGAAGCCTCGGGTGAGGTCCTGGGGGATTTGGACAGTAAGCTAGAGATGACCTGGCGGATATCCTCCGAACGGGACTTTAAGTGCTTCTCGAATTTGTCGACATCATCGAACAGCAGGCTGCTTTGGAAAGCCGGGCGTTCTGGGATTTTGTTTAGCGTTTCTATGTAAACCAAAAGCCGGCATGAGTGGGACCCACCCTTGGCATCCTCTTCGGCAGCGCCCATGAGCAATTTGACCTCGTCGACCAACTGTCGACTCGTCAGACAATCTGCACCGGATGAGCAAAATACAACGATCTACTCACTTGCTTATACCAGGTATCTATGATACGGAGATGGTCATTGTGGAAGGCGGTGGCTTTGGACATCTCCTTCAGCTTGGCCTCGAGCGACACCTTCTCACGTTTGTACTCCTGCATCTGGCGCCATATTGCGTCTTTTTGGAAACGCTGCGACGAAAAGACGTCAGTATGTCACCTGGAGGGTAGCGGTAGAGTCGACTATGGCGTTCCAATCCTGTCTAGGGGAACCCTTGGGATAAGTTGGCACCCACGTGGGCAGATCGGGGACTTACCTCCAGGTCATCTTTCCAGGGCATATCAGCGTCGGGATGGGGTTTGCTACCACCATTGACCGAAGTCGCTTGCTTTTTCAACGGTGGAGCAGAATCATTATGGTCGTAAGCAGCGGCTCTCTTCCGGTCTTCCATCATGACAAAACCGGAATCGGAAGATGCGACGGGGGATGCTTCGGCGGCCGGCATCAGTGGCTAAAGAGGCATACGTCAGAAGAGGCCGTCACCACTGAGCAGCAACGGGCCGAAAGCAGGGACCGTAACAATATCCGACCGTGAAAGACGTGACGGTGGGTGGTTGTTGTGGAAGAAAAGGCGGGTGGAAGGGGGGAAGCGAGGAAGAGGTGGAAGAGGGGGATGGAGAGGGAATGAGTTGAGATAAGCAAAGACTCCCAGGCAGAGAGAAGCCAGGAGGATTTTCGGCCTGCCAGTTTAGCGTCCCTTCGCGCCTCCCACGTGACCGCGCCCACTTTCCCCAGGAGTTCAGGTTCAGGTTCAGCTCTTTCCGCCCGCCAATCTAGACTTTTTGCTGGTTTATTACTCTCTCTCTCGGTCCCTTCTTCTACCTACTACCACCACCACCACCAACTAAACCACCATCACTTCATCATCATTGTTCCCCCCCTACTATCTCTCCTTGCTCATTTCATCCCTTCCTTACCTTTCGCTTCAGCGATGACCAGCATGCAGAATGAAGTCCTTTTCCAGTTCGGCCATTAGTACGTTCCTTTGTCCCCTCTTCCCGTGTCCCGTCCCGCCTTCTATACATTCAACTGCTAATCATGCCTCCTCTACAGATAAGTCGGGCAAGAAGTTTGCCCCCAAGGCGCCCGCTCGCCGTCCTCCAGCCTCCGCTCCCCCCAGAAGACCTAGTGTAGCCTCCCAGCCATCTGCCTCTCAGACTCCCCAACCTCCAACAGAGACAGCAACTCCCGAACCCGGTCCACCGGCCCCCGCTGTTCAGCCCTCCGTTCCTACTGCACCTTCAATCCCAGAGGAGTCAGCAGTCTCTCCTAAGGAGAATGTCGTCGCACCTCAGTCTGCGACAGCCATTCCAATCCCCCGTCCCAAGCGCAAGGCTTCGGTGTCTGCAGTCTCCCCGGGAACCATAGAACAGATCTCAACCCCTCCTCAACCTACCCCGCCTACACCTACCGCGCCAGAACCCCAAGTTGAGCAGACACAGGCGACTGTGAGCGATACTGCGGCTGCTGTTCCCGAGACACAGATATCCCGCCCCCATAATGACGCGACAGTGATTCGTCCATCCAAACGTCCCAAGACCACCGGAGAATCCACCGCCATCACCACCGATGCTGTCTCCACCGTTTCCGCTCCTTCTGCTGCTGCTGCTCCTCATCCTGCTACGACTACGCGCACCACCGAATCAATTGCGATAGACGCCAACCCCCAACTTGTTACTCCTCCAGCAACGCAGGCGGCACTCACTGATAGCGAAGGGACTACAGATGCGCGCCCTAGAACCGACTCGCAGGTTACTATTGCCGAACAAGGTCGAAAGCCAACGAGGACTAGACGGAAATCAGTGAAGGATGTCAATGGGGAAAATGCGACAAAGAAGAAGGAAAGAAAGCCACGAACACGCAAGAAGCGCGAGCCAACCCCCGAAGGCGCCGAATCTGTCGAGATCGCCCCCGCAATGGTCAAGATGTCGGAGCTGTGCAAGGATTTGCGCACGGGTAAAATGTCCAAGCGTGAGACTGAGCTGCGCAACATGGAACAGGCTGAGCAGGAGCGTAAGCAAAAAGCCCAGCAGGAAGGCGATACTGAGGCACCGGTGAAAGAGAATGTGAACGACGCGTCTCCCGCGGGCGACCAGGATGAGAACCCAGACAACAAGGCCCAAGCTGGACCAGTGATGAGGATTGTTAACGGAGAGATTGTGCTCGACACTGCTTCATTGCAGGTGGATCGCCATGCCGACGCCGCGAGGAATGCTGGGGTCCTCGAGGATGTTATCGAAAACTCGTTTACTCGAAAAATCAACCAGGCAACATATGGAAAACGATCCAAGACCGAATCCTGGGACGAGGAGATGACCGATCTTTTTTATCGGGGCTTGCGCATGTTTGGTACGGATTTCATGATGATCAGCAAGTTGTTCCCGGGCCGTTCCCGGCGCCAGATCAAGCTCAAGTTCAACAACGAAGAACGTCGTGACCCCCAGCGGATTAAAGAAACACTGTTGGGCCCGCGGGAGACCATTGACATCAGTACCTACTCGGAGATGACCAACACTGTCTATGATGACCCCAGGCTGATTCAACAAGAGTTGGACGAGGAGCGGAAGCGGATTGAGGCTCAGCACGCTAAAGAGAAGGAAGCGCAGGAAGAGATGCTTCGTAATCCTGACGGTGCGGCTGGTGGTGCCGACGGCACTCCAGCCAACGACATGCCTGTCAAAGCGAAGCGGAACAATAGGAAACAAGCCATGAAGGCCATGGCCGGTGGCACTGAAGAAGTTTTGGGCACCATTGATGATATACCTTGAGTACACAGGATCGATAAATTTATTTTAACGGCCGATTTCAATACCATGCGGGGATACAGGTGTTTTTGGCGTTGCAAACCAGACCAGTTATACTGCCTGGCGCAGGAGTTTACTTGGGTTTCTGTTCGTCTTTCTTTTGCCCCCCCCGGTGATGATGAATGTCTGTTTGTTCACTCTATTTGCTTACTACACCGTGGTCGGCTGAAGTAGTGGTAATTATCCGATGATTTGGTCCTACGTGTATCTTAGTGGTCGGCCATTACAACGAGATTATCAAAAGAATCAAAGGCTTATAGCTAGCACACTCTGCTCCTTCTAGCTATTACCTGCGGCGTGTTGAGCCAAACCCGGTACTTGTGGTGCTGCTGGAGAATTGCGGAGTGCGCGATCCTGAACTACCCTCCCCAGGGTCATCATATCTTCTGGACGAGGAAGGCCGGGTCCAAGTAGATGACGAACTAGACCGATTCCCAGCGCTTCTTCTTCCCAGCGCATAACCAGCCGCCCCACCACTCATGGCACCCGTCCAAAACCCAGGTCTCCAACGCTCGCTAGGGTCTGAAGAAGGAGTATAAGGGGGCGGCGAGGCTGAGTACGGAGGCGGAGGCCCATCATCCCCATAGCCACCACCACCTCCCCCACCACCACCACGGCGTCGTCGCTGTGGCCGATTCGCCCCCGACCCACAACACTCATTGAAGAACGCTGCCAGAATGAACACAAAAACCGCAATCATAAACCCAAAGAAGATCACTTTGCCTACGGGGCCAAGCTCATCACTCGAAGAGCTCGATCTCTCATTGCGCAAGTGTCCAAACTTCTCCTCCCCCGCTTCCGTCAGCAGTAGGCGATACTCGACTCCGCAGCTCCCTTTCAATATCCACTTGTCGTCGGCATTTCGATATCCTTCACATATTACGTCTGTAGCTCCGAGCTTGAATTCTTGTGGGAGCGACGCAGTGCAGGTCCATTGGACGTCTTCTTCATCGTAGTCGTAGCCTTCGTTTGTGCATCGCATTGTATCGATCTCGTACATATTGCAGATGCGCTTGGATGGGCCGGTGCATTTTAGCTGCGGGATTGGAGATACTCGTCTGGACGTGGTGAGACGGTTTCCGCGGAGAGTGAGTGACCGGACGCGCGAGAGGAGGATGGCGTCTTTGCCTGGGGGTCGATCGGAGAGAGCGGCGTATGGGAAGAGGAGGAGGGAGAGGAGGAGCTGTCGGATGAGTAGATTGTACATTGTGGAGGTGTCTTGTAAATGGGTAGCTTTGGCGTGTGTGTGTCAGTGGAGAGTGAGCATGAGCATGCTGCCGACGATGGATGCGGCGTCTAGATAGATGGCATACAAGCAATGGTAA